TGTGAGGCCTCAGAGTGAAGTAAAGTTCAGCTGGGAGAGCAGGCTTGTCACCCCCAGGGCACCAGGCTGCTCGGTTTCCTTAGCTACAGAGGCCCATTGTGGGAGCGCTCTCACCAAGTTGGGCCCAAGCTTCTGCGAGCTAGAGGTCAGCCACATCTCTCTCTCCCTCCAAATTGGGGCCTCCTAAAGATAGGTCCCCAGCAGCTTCACCCCCAGCTGGAGCTGAGAATCTGGGTGGATGCTGATGAAGGGCACCCAGGAATTCTCTGCCAGCTGCTACTAGGTGCCCCGCAAACCGTGATGCAACATCAACCCCGATTTGATGTCAAAAATAGCATTCCAAGGAACTGCCTGCAGAGGGGTGTTAATTCACAGTAGAAGCACCTTATTGACTCAAGTTTCCGGGAAACGCCTCCCATTGGTTAATGGCTGGGAGAGGGGGCCATTGGATGGTAAAGGCCATGGCCCCCTCTAACCATTAACCAGCAGGGGATTTAGCAGCTGCAGGCTCCTGGGGCTTGCTGTATGCACCCTGGGCTCCAGGACTCAGCCCTGACCCAGCAGAAGAGCCCCAGTGCCCTGCACACAGTAACACCAAGAAGCAGACACAGTGCCTCCTGCTTCTACCCACCCCCCAGAGTCATCCTGTGAGTAGCACTTGCTTGTTTGCTTCAGCTGGATGTTTTTATCAGGGGGTTGAACATCAGGGCAGCCAGCAGTGGGTATGAGGCAATCCCAGGGACGGTGTCTCAAATCCCAGACTCTGTGGGCCATGCGTGGGCTCCCGCCTCACAGCCAGGAGTCAGGGCCACAGGCCTCCACAGCCAGTGCTGCAAAGCCCTGGCTGAACAGTGGCTGCAGCTGCAGAACAGGAGTGGGAAGGCAGGGCTGAGCCAGTGCCAGGCAGGACCCCTGACGGAGGGGGAGGCCAGCCTGGGCAGGGGGTTGGGGGGATGGCCCACTAGCACAGCGCATGAGGCATCTATAGAGTCCACTCCTGCCTGTCACAGCTCTTGGCTCAGTGACCTGGGGCAAGGATAACACACACAGCAGAACCAGCCATGTCACCCAAATCCAGGAGAGTCCAGAACTGCACCTGCTTGCAAGTCCACCTGCAAGAACCGAGGGAGGGCACAGTCGGCATTTTTTCCATGAGCAGCTTCAGGGATGGAGGACTGGGAAGATGTGATTGAAATTGCAGCACCCTGCTTTCTTAGAAGCCTGGGAACTTCTAAGAGCTGTTGGATTCATCATTGTGCTTTCTGTAGAGAGGCAGCAGCCATGGGCTCTGAGACCAGATGACTGGATCCTTAGCTCTGCCAGGGTTACTCTGTCTCCCTGGGCCTCAGTTTTCTTGTCTGTGAAATGGCCCCTAAGATGACCAAGGAAGGGAGAGCACAGAAGCCAAGCATTGACCAGCACAGCCATGACCAACCCTCATGACAGTCACATAAAACAGGTAGCATTTCATCTCCCCAGAGCCTGCAGGAAGGAGGGGCGGGAAGCCCTCCCTGCTCTGGGCCCAGGAGTTGTATGGGGCCAAGGGTGGGGGGGTCCTTGCCCATTAGGGGCTCACAGTATGGCAGCGACCCCTGCCTCAGCGCAGATTAGGAGGCAGGGGAGAATGGGGGTGGAGAAGGACAGAGGACTTCCTGGAGGTGGGGACCTGTGACCTGAGTATCAAAGGCCAGGCACAGCGGACAGGCTCACATGGCGGAGACATGGCACAGACCCGGGGCAGATGCGTTTCTCACCCCCCCTTCCCCCCAGCTCTCAGTAGAGAGCTGTTCTCAGCAAATACAGGGGAATGCCCTGCCTTGCCCTGCCTGCTCTGGCCCACTCTGCCACAGTTGGGAGGAGCCTCTGATACTGACAGCTGCTGGGAATCCAGGGAGCCGGATTTGAGGCTGGTGGCTGGGATTGTCAGCAGAGATCGGGCCACGAGGACCTCCTAGGCTGTGTTAGTGACACGCAGCCCCTTCCGCAGGCAGCGGGCAGCCATTGGACGCTCACCAGCCCAGGCTCTTGAGAAACATGCAGCAGGCTGCCAAGGGAGACAGGGACCCTGCTCAGCCCTGGTCCACTTAGGCTGCACCCTGGAACAGGGTCAGGATGCTGAGTCAGGCAAACGGGTAAACCTGGAGTTTGGTATCAGCTCTAATATTTTTTGATATATTTATTTCTTTTTTATTAGAAAGGCAGATTTACAGAGAGAAGGCGAGACAGGGGGAAATTTTTTCCATCTGCTAGTTCACTCTCCAGCCTCAACAGCTGGAGCTGAGCTGATCTGAAGCCAGGAGCCAGAAGCTTCTTCCGGGTCTCCCTCATGGGTGTAGAGGCCCAAAGACCTGGGCTATCATCTGCTGCTTTCACAGGCCACAGGCAGGGAGTTGGATTGAAACTAGAGCAGCCAGGACCCAAATGGGATGCTGGCACTGGGCACGCAGAGGATTATCCAATTGAGCCATTGTGTCGGCCCCTCAGCTCTATTTTATACCAAAGAAATTGAGTTTCAAGTCTCACTTCCCCCTCCCGATCTCAGATACTGACTGTGGGTTGCTCTTACCATATTCCTTCTATCGGAATAATGTGGACATTTTCCCCAGACTTATTGCAGCAAAACGTCTTAACATTTACCATTTTGAGCACACGATACTAAAGCACTAAGTAATTCATGTCGCTGTGAAATCTTACTATCCTCCATTTCCAGAATGTTTGCAGCACCGTATCCACTAACGTGACCCTCCGTCCCCTCTGCCCCAGCAGCCCGTCACCTCTCCTCCACTTTCTGGCCCCATGTGTTCTACTTGTCTGGGAGTGGAACCACACTTCGTTTGTCCTCTTGCATCTGGCTTATTTTACTCGGCACAATGTCTTCAGGGTTCATCCATTTGTCCCATGGTCCCAATCTCGCCTTGTGTGCGATGTCACATTTGCTCTGTTCATTCCATGAGCATCTGGGCACAAAACGTTAAGGAAGGCTGCTGTGACATTTGTGTACAAATACCTGTTTGAGCCCCTGCTTCTGGTTTTTTCGTAAATCAAAATAATGTTACTTGTTCAACTGCAATTCTAGGTTTAACTTTTTAAGCTTATTTACTTTTTAAAGATTTATTTGTTTTTATTGAAAAGGCAGATTTACAGAGAGAAAGAGAGGCACGGAGAAAGATTTTCTATTCACTGGTTCACTTCCCAAATGACCGCAATGGCCAGAGCTGAGCTGATCCCATGTAGGTGCAGGGTCTAAGGCTTTGGGCCATCCTCCGCAGTTTTCCCACTCCATAAGCAGGGAGCTACATGGGAAGTGGAGCAGCTGGGACACAAACTGGTGCCCATATGGGATGCCAATGCTTGCAAACAGGGGATTAGCCAACTGAGCCATCAGACTAGTCTCAGGATTTATTTGAATGGCAAAGTAACAGGGAGAGACAGGAGAGAGAGATCTTTCATCTGCTGGGTCCCTCCCTAAAGGAGCACAACAGCTAGGCCAGGGCAAGGCCAGGAGCCAGAAACGCCTTCCTGATCTCCAATGTGGGTGGCAGGAGTCTAAGTGCTTGGGTCAGTTTCCAGTGACTTCCCAGCCGCATTAGCAGGCAGCCTGATGGGAAGTGGAGTAACCAACATGAGATGACATGGTTGCAAGCAATGCACTTAACCCACTGTTCCACATGCTGGCCTAGGTTTAAGTGGGTTTTTTGTTTTGTGTTTTAAATACATGTTAGTGTCCAAATTCCTGCCAGGATTCTCTTTTGCCCACATTCATGCACAGGGGGATTCTTTTGTCCCCATCCATGTCAACACAGTGCTGTTTGCTTGCTTGTAGTAGCCATCCCCACAGGAGGGAGCGGCCTCTTACTGTGGGTTTGACTTGCGCTTGTCTAATCATTGAGCAACCTCTCCTGTTCCGCTCACAGGATTTTTATAGCAACTCTGGGTCCATTCTCGAATTAGGTTTCTTTGCTTGGATTTGGTTTGGTTCTTCAGTTGTAGTTGTTCTTTACAGATTCTAGATAAAATATTGTATCAGATACATGATTTGCAAGAGTAGTTTCCCATCCTATGTGTTGCCTTATTACTCTATTTTGTGGTTGATCTTTTTTTTTTTTTTCAGTTTTGGGGCACAGCTGTGGTTTCAACTGGGGAATGTGTGAATGTCTTCCTCATTTTTGAAGTATAGTTTTGCAGAATGTAGGATTCTTGGTTGGCAGTGCCCACTGAGCAGATATTTGACATAAATTCAGGTCAAATACCTTCTTCCTGCCTAAAATCATGTCAATAATTAAAAATTATTTTTGTTGGGCCCGGCGCAGTGGCGCAGTGGTTAAGGTCCTTGCCTTGCACGCCCGGGATCCCATATGGGCACCAGTTCTATCCCGGCAGCCCCGCTTTCCTTCCAGCTCCCTGCCTGTGGCCCGGGAAAGCAGTTGAGGACAGTCCAAGGCTTTGGGACCCTGCACCCGCATGGGAGACTCGGAAGAGGCTCCTGGCTTCGGATTGGCATAGCATCGACCATTGCGCTCACTTGGGGAGTGAATCATCGGACAGAAGATCTTCCTCTCTGTCTCTCCTCTATGTATATCCGCCTTTCCAATAAACAAAATAATAAAAATAAATCTTTAAAAAAATTTTTTTTTGTTTTATGATACAATTGAATAGGCACTGGGGTCTCTCCTCCCCCTCCTCAAGCTCACTCCCCTCCCCCACTGATCTCCCCTCCAGTTTTACAATGGGTGTCTTTCGTGAACTTTGGTATTTTGGTGAGGATTAGATAAAAGAATGTAGGTAAAATAATATCAGGACTGGGTGTCTAGTAGGCAATTGGTCACAGCGGGTCCTTAAATGAGGACACTGAGGCTGTCCCAGCTGGGCTTGGCCCTGGAGCAAGGCACTTCAGGGGGGTTTCTTGCCAGCCTCCTAGGACACCAGCTCCCATTGAATCAGGGGCTACCACGTCTCCTAACAAGTATTTCTGATTTGGCAGGGCCTGGCCACACTGGACAATGCCTCTTGCCACATACACCTGTCTCCTCTGGCTGTTAACAAGTGGCCTCTGGACCACTCAGGCTGAGGACCCCCCAGATGACGGCATCTGTACCAGGAGCCCGCACCGGGGCCTGGCTCCAGCCAACGTAGACTTCGCCTTCAGTCTCTTCCGGCAGCTCGTGGCCTCAGCTCCAGACAAGAACATGTTCATCTCTCCCGTGAGCATCTCCATGGCCTTGGCCATGCTGTCCCTGGGCGCCTCTGGCCACACCCGGACCCAGCTTCTCCAGGGCCTGGGCTTCAACCTCACTGACACCCCTGAGGCTGAAATCCACCAGGGCTTCCAGCACCTCCACCGTCTCCTTGGGGAGTTGGGTACCAGCTTGGACATGACCCTTGGCAATGCCTTGTTCCTTGACCACAGCCTGGAGCTGCTGGAGTCATTCTCAGCAAATATCAAGCTTTACTATGAGTCCAAGTCCTTGGCCACAGATTTCCAGGACTGGGATGGAGCCAGCAGGCAGATCAACAAATACATAGAGAATAAGACACAGGGGAAGATTGTGCACCTGTTCTCGGGCGTGGAGAGCCCAGCCACCCTCATTCTGGTCAACTATATCTTCTTCAAAGGTAGCCCTGCCCTCTCTGCTCTGCCGGGACCCCTCCACCATTGCCAAGGGTAGCACCAGCTGTCCATACCCATGGCACATACTCCAGCTGGGGTTTCAGTTTCACATATGGGAGACTTGGTCTTCACCATGGTCCTGCCAGGAGGGTGGAATTGCTAAAGTTCATAAAAAGCAAAATGATGCCCAGGGCTTTGCCCATATCCTAGTAGGTTGGCTCAAGGCCTGCCCCATCACTGTGGCCAGTCTGGCTGCCTTATGGTCTAGAATATTGACAAGGCACTGGCTCATGGCCCCAGAGACTAGACACACAGCCAAGAACCTGCAAGCTCTGCTTGCATCCACGGGGCACACGCTGCCCGAGATGTCCCACTCAGCTCCGACCAGACTCTGTCCCATCCAACTGCAGTCCCACTCACCCCAGACCTACTGAAAGCCCTAGAATTTGTGTTTTTAAAAGCAATTTTGTTTGAAAGACAGAGAGAGAGACAGCAGACATCCACTGGTTCATTCCCCCAAAATCTACAACAGCTTGATGTCTACAACAAGCCATCTACAACAGCCGAAAGTCTAGTACATAATCTAAGCCTTCTGTGGTGAGTGATGGGACCCAGTTACTTGGGCCCTCACCTGTTACCTCCCAGAGTATGTTATCCAGATGCAGAAATCCGTAACATGGCCAGGACTCAATCCTATTCACTCCATCATGGACTATTGGACACTCCAGCAGATGGCTTAACCGCTATGCCAACCACCACACCCACCAGTACTACCACCACCCTCCAGTGTCACTAGGGCCACCCAGGATCTGGCTACCCCCACCACCTGCCCTCCTGCAGCTCCCCACCCCCCGGGTCCTCCTAGCACCTGTTAGTGCTTCTCTACCTTACCCATCTCTGGCACCAGGCTGGGCTCCCCCAGCAGAGACTGCCCTCTGGGAAGGTGTGTTAACTTCATACTCTTATTTCCAGCATCCGTGTCCCTCTGAGGGCCCAGGACCTTTGCATGGTGCTTGGTGCCTGGCAGGAGCCCAGGATGGGTTCCAGAGGTTTTGGCAGCATAGCCTTGTGTCCCAGGATCAGGGGACAGGAGAGAGTGAGCCTGCTGAGAATGAGGGAGGTCTATGCCCTGCTAGGCAGGCTGGCGGCACAGGGGAAGGCAGGTGTGGCTCTGCACACATTTTCTTAGCCCTCTCAGCACCACAGCAGGTCTCTGTCAGACCAAAGAAACTTGGCAGATCTGAACATGGGACCAGTCACTGGCAGCGGGGAGGGACCTCGCTGCACACAGATCTGTGGAACCACAGAACTCTGCAGCAAGGCCTTGGTTCAACTGGGGGAAATAGCAATACTTCCCGCAAGCCAGGAGTGATACCACTACAGTCCCTGGAGTTAGAACATGTAGCATCATGGCCCTGGCATGTTTCTTATTTAAGTACATATATTTGAAAGGCAAAGTGACAGAAAGGGAGAGATTTTTCCACATGCTGTCCTGCTCCCCAGGTGGTGGCAGTAGCTCCCTAGAGTTCCTTCCTAGTCTCCCTTATGGCTGCAGGGGCTAAGCACTTAGGACATCTTCATCTGCCTGTCTAGGTGCATTAGTAGGGGGCTGGATTAAAAGTAGAGTAGCCAGCACTCAATCAGCACCCCAACATGGGATGCTGGCAACACAAGCAGCAGTTTAACACACTTCACCAGTGACAGCCCGAGGGTTCATTCCTTAGTGGATTGTCTCAACAACTCTTTTTTAACAGAACACTAAAATCTTGCTAAAAGATTGTCCAGGGGAATCAGCTTTGCTCTCCCCAACTCCCTCCCCTCCCCTAAATGCTTCCATTTCTCCGCCACCATATTCCTAAGAATGTTCAAGCAGGTGTCCTGGAGTGGTTGCTAACTATGCTATGCCTTGTTTTATGCTGAGCTCATTTGGGGTGGGCACAATAGCTCAAATTGCTAATTTGCCTGAGCTGGCATCCCATATAGGCACCGGTTCAAGTCCCGGCTGCTCTAATTCCAATCCTGCTCCCTGTTTGTAGCCTAGAAAAGCAATGGATAACTTGCAAGTGACTCCAGCTCATGTGCCGTGAGGAGGCAGAGGCAGGCAGGGAGTTCACGCTCAGGACCTGCAGGCACCAAGGGTGAAAGTGTTTGCAGCTGCTGAGGCCCTCAGCCCGCTTCTGGACTTCCTTCAGCCCTTCCCCACAATCAGTGGACAGGACAGGGGTTCTTACACTGACAGTGTAGAAGTTGCCTAGACAAGGGTCTCCCAGAAGCTCTGTCCTGGCCACCTGGCAACAGCCTCACAGGGGCTTCTGGGCTCAAGGTCAGGTGAGCTGAGTTGTAGGGGAAATCCTGGCTTCCGCTAGGGCATCCTGAAATCTCACTCCGACTCTATATTGGGACATGGAACTTGGAAGGCAGGACCATGGAAGTCAGGGGAGTGAGCAATTTCCACTGGGCCTGCCAGGCCACCAGGTGGAGGTGGACGGAATGCTCCAGCCCCCAAATTGCCCCTCCCTGCCCCTGACCAGGGACCTAGGGTTTGGCAGCCAAAACTGCCAAATCTTGTTCCAGAGCCATGACCCAGCTTCCCCCTTGCCGCCTCTGGGAGCTTTCCCTTCTTCCTGGAAAACCCTGGCACTCAATGCAGGACCTGCCTGGTTACCAGCTACGCCTGGCACCCTGCTGCACCTCTCCCCACCCCCAGCATGAGGTCACCTGCCCTACCAGGCTATGTCCTGCTTTCCCTCACAGGCACATGGGCACACTCCTTTGACCAGGAAGGCACCAGGGAAAAGAACTTTTATGTGAATGAGACGACCACAGTGCTGGTGCCCATGATGTTCCAGTCCAGCACCATCAAGTACCTGCACGACTCAGTGCTGCCCTGCCAGCTGGTCCAGCTGGACTACATGGGCAATGGCACCGCATTCTTCATCCTTCCTGATGAAGGCAAGATGGACACGGTGATCGCTGCCCTGAGCCGGGACACCATTCAGCGGTGGTCCAACCTCCTAACCAGCAGGTAAGCCTGGGCAGCTGCGGCAGCTTCTCAATTCATGTGACTTCAGAAATGGAAGGGCGGCTGGCCCTCCTGCCGTCCCCTCGGCTTCAGTTCCAGGCACTCTCGCTCCTTCTGGGATGTTTAAGAACAAAACTCTTCATCTGGTGTCAAGTGTAGATTCCCAGCCCAGCTGTGGAGTCCACCCCCTTCACCTTTCTAGAAAAACATTGGTGCTAGCCCGAGCCAGGTGCCAGCTGCATCAGCCCAAGCATATGCTAATTTCCTGCGGGATCCCAGAGCTTAGCCCCAGAGGCCCTGAGCTGCCGTGACCCACTACCTTGTTCACAAGGGTACATGGCTCACAGAATGCAGTGGTGTCCGCCAGGCTGGCCAGCTACTCCTTCCACTCCTCTGCTGCTGGTGGGGGCTGACTGGTCTCTGGGGGCACCATCAACCCTGAATGCCCCCTTGGTCCAGCTGTGTCACAGGTAGAATCAGCTTGTTAGCCTGAAGAGGAAGCTGTCTGCGGGCTGCCTCCTGCCCATCCCCTCCCCTGGGTCCAGGAATACATCAATGTAAGAGGGTGGGGGCAGGAAGGATCCCAGTGGCCCCGGGACTGAGTCCACCTGCCGGTCCCATGCAGCTGGGTGCACCTGTACATCCCGAAGGCCTCCATAACCGGGGACCACAAGCTCAGAGGTGTGCTGGCAGCCATGGGCATCTCAGACCTGTTCACCAACCGGGCGAATTTCTCCAACCTTGCCAAAGAGGCCCAGCTGAAGGTATCAGAGGTAAGCATCTGGCGAACCCAGCTTTATTTTTTGCCTCCAAATTTCACCATGAAAAGATAACAGCCAATGCTGAGTCCATTCATGTACAGCTCCCTAGTTCTGAGGCTAAGAGCCCAGGGTCTGCCCAGGCCCTTCATCACACAACAGGGTAGAGAGGCTTGGCAAAATAGTATGTTGTCCCCTGATCACCCAAGAAGCTATCAACAAGGGTGGCAGTCACAGCCCAGGCACCTGCCAGCCCTGCTCCCCACCAAAGGGCCCTGTGGTTTCGGGGCAAAGTGCAAACAGTCCCTGGCCAGAAGGACGAGAGAACATGGTAACTGTCCAACTGGGCTCACACTGAGCCTTCTAGCCAATGCACCCCTCACCCTTGCTGTCAGCTTGATGTTGCATCTTTCATTGATTCCAAACACTCGGACACAGCGCCGCCTCCTGCCAGCAGCTGTGCTGAGTTCTGGGTCTCCCTTCATGACTTGGGTGCCCCTCTGTCTCTGGGACCCATGTGGGGCTGTGTAAACAGGCTGGTTTGTGGGTATTGTCCAGTTTCGCCAAGGGGGACCTCCCATACAGAAGCACAAAGAGCTCACCAGTGCTCACTGAGCTGATAAAGGGTGAGGTGGCATTGAACCTCACATCTCTTGACTCGCAACTGCTTACTGTCACGAGGCAGAACTGCCCTCAGCTGCAGCTATAACACCAGATATCACCGGCTCCTTCATTAGCCAGGTAGCAAGTTGCCAAAGGCTTCTGTGTGAGCCATCAGATCTTTTATTCATTTCAAAATTTCTTCTCATTTTGAAACCAACCAGGGGATACATCAAGAAAAATTCACCTGTTAGCTAGTGGGCTTTGCTGGACAGAACAGGGGCGCCTTACATAAATCCCATCCCGGTATCTCCCTAGCAGAGTGAAAGGTGGGGGCTGTGGGGGATGAAGTCGCCCTCTACTAACCTGGGATCCAGAAGCCGAGTTGAATCCATGGAGCCTTAAGCTCTGCATGTGTGCTCATCCTGCCTTTTCTGGAAGGAGGTAACAAAGATGCAGCTGAGTTCTGGAGGGCACTAGAGCTGTGCTCTACACCTGGGGCTGCTGGTTAGATAAGGAGGCAGCAAGGGACTCTCTGAGCCTCAGCTTCCCCATCCATCAAGCAAAGGATGTAAGCAATCCTTTGCCATGGGAAGTGCCTGACATGCAGAGGTGCCCACCATCATCCCTGGTGCACTCCTAACAGGTGGTCCATAAAGCTGTTCTACAACTGGACGAGAAGGGAGCAGAGGCTGCTGTCAGCCCTGGAAGGACTCTGCAGCTTGTTTCTGAACCCCTCACCATCAGCTTCAACCGGCCCTTCCTCATCATGATCTTCGACCACTTCACCTGGAGTAGCCTGTTCCTGGGCAAGATTGTGAGCCCAGCCTAAGGACGGGTCCAGCCTGGGGCCACTGCTCCATCTGACTTTGGACACCTGCAGAAGTGGGAGGTTTCTGCCAATTTCTCTCAGTTTTCCTCCCACAAGCCAGAGTTGCCCACCTCTGTGCATCTTGTAATAAATACCCATCACTGTGAGTCTGCCCGCAAGTACAGCAGAAGGAGAAGACATGGGGACACGGAGGACAAACCCCCAGACCCTGTGTCTCAGACTCTCCAGGTTATTGTAACAAATCCCACAGGTGAGGTAGCTGATAGACAACAGGGATTAGTGTCTCACCATTGAGGAAGTTGGAAGCCCAGAGGGCACCTGCCTGGCCAGGTTCTGATGACAGTCCGCTTGCTGGCTTTCATGCAGTTGACTCCTTGGTGTGTTGTCACACATCAAATAAAGTTCAGATCTGGACAGGACTCTTCGATGAGGGCACAAAATCTGTCACCAGCCTCCACTGTGGCCTCATGACCTCCCACCTGTTCATGTTTTCATCTGGGGGTTGAGTGTCAGTGGAGGATTTAGGGGGGATGGGAGGACACAGACCTTCAGGTCATGATGTCTTGGCTCCCGTAAGATCCCAGCCCTCATGGCACTTGTTACACTGTCTGCTTGGCAGGTGATAGAATTCAATCGGTTGGGTTTTGCTTTGGTAGTATGGTTTTTATGGTGCTCATTTTTACAAGGCAAACAACATGGCATTATCAGCTCCTCTACTCTGGTTCCTCCCTGCTAAAAACAATTCACATCTTAGTATTGGATGTGTGTGTTCCCAAATATAAGAGTATTTCCAAAAGTTTGTGGAAAATGTACCTTCTGACTCCAACCCACCCTCTTTGTTGCCTCCAGCTCCTGGAGAAAGAGACCTGTCCTTGCCCCTCTGGGAGAGATCAGAACAGATAGGAAATCAGAGACTATGAGCCATCCAGGCCTGGAGGGGCTAGGGGATGGAGGCTGACCTGCTCTGGAACCCAATGGGACACTGCTTGTTGCAGGTCTTGCTGGGGCTGAGTTCAGCCACAGCAGGTCCCCACACCTGGGTGACTGGTGCAATGTGGACGGTTGGGAGGACAGGGCTGAGGGGTAAAGTTTATCAAATTTCCTTATCTTTCTGTCGCATCTCTGCATCTCCATGCCAACTGATGTCATGGTAACCAACAGGCTCACTGACTTGGCTAGCTGCCCCTATCATTGTCTATGAGCTTGTGTAAGTAACTGGGGGACATGGTTAGGGCAGCTGTGGGTGGCTGTGCAAATGTGTGCCTGTTGGCAGATGGACGTGGTGTCTCCAAGAGGTGCCACAGCAATGCAGTCTTCTCCCTGCTTGGTGTGTCCTTGGCCATGGCAGGCTCAGTGCTGGATACCAGAGGGCAGGCAGAAGCCCCCAGCTTGACAGCTGCTCCACCCACAGGCCAAGAACCCATCCAAGCCTCCCTCCCTTGCTGGTGCTTTTTAAGCCACTCCAGGCTGCACCAGGGGCGAGGATTCTGAGGCTGGAGATCTTGATCAGTCTCACCAAGAGCTATTTGGACAATGTGTACACCTGCCTATGGGTGCTCGCAATACCTCACACACCAAAGCATGCATCAATCATTGCATTAAGAGAAGTCAGAGAGAACCAAGCTCTTTGATGAGCTTGACCCCAAAGCTGATTAACTCTCGCAGATCCCACTCTGTTCAAAGACACTCTAATCACCCCAAGCCAATCCCCTCTACCTTCACCACCACCAACTCACTCTTCCTCCCCTCCCATTTGGCCAGCATGGGCCTAGTGCTTGGAGATTTTCTAGGCATCCCTCACCAGGTTCCACCCACAGATGGAATCAGGTACCGAGAAGGGCTGGTCAGGTTCCCTTAAGGCCCAGCCGTGCAGCCCCATGGGTTTGGAGTCCTTAGAGTTTCTAGATTGCACCACCCTCTTTCAACCTCTGAGGGAGGTGTCAGCATCAGAAATGCTCCAGACACATGTGCATTCTCTGAGGGTAGGGCTGCATCAAAGCTCTTCTATTCTCCACTTTTGTGACCTGAGACAAGTGACATTTCTGCCCTTGGATCCTTAGCACGGAAAACGGGGACACTCCCACCTGCTGCATAGTTAGGAGGCTAAATGACATAGCAAACATACGCTGTCCGGTGGTGTTTGGCACACTGCTATCTAACATGTGCATCGGATAGAGCAGAAGTCGCTATGACCTGTATAAAGGAGATGAGAATGAAATAGAGAGTTGCTTGATCCAGGTCACAGTGACAGAGGCCAGACAACAAACATCACCTGACTCCCGATCCCAGTTCCTCGTGGCCCAGCCCGTCTAGAGCAGCACTGGGTGTGATGTGGAAGCCACTGGCAAGAGAGCTGCCACCACGAGATGTGTAAAGCCCCAGCGGGCAGGGGAGTCACCTCCAGGCCACCCCCAGGGCCGCCATCCAGGTGCAGTCATGTGCCCACATGCCGGAGGCCTCCTCTGCACTGAGGGGGCTGCTTCTCTCAGAACCCTGCCCAAGCAGTGGCTGACCCTGCAGGCCATTTCTGCTGCGCTCCATGGGTGCCTGGATGCATGCTAGACAAAGTGGCAGCCAGAGGGGACCCTGCTGCCAGTACACAGCACCATGAGAAGGCTTCTCTAGGTGAGGGTAACCTCAGGGAAGCAGAGTGAATAATGTGCAAGTTTAGAACAAGGCAGGGAAAGGGGACTGTGACATTATCTTGCTCTCATGCTGCTCCCGGGGACTTCAAGTGGATCTGACTTTTGCCAGCTGGGAAAGAAGTCTAGAAAAAGTTGCTCCCCAAGGCTCGCTTCTCTCATCCTTCACCTTGTCTGAGACAGCCAATGGCATATTCTTACACAGGCAGCATCGCTCTCCCAACCATCTCGGTTACACAGAATTTAACATGCATCTCATCCCATGGAAAAGCAGCAAATGCACCTGAAACATCCTTGGGCAGCTGATTTCTGACACAGAGACAAGGAATTAGGAGTGAACTCAGAGAATCATGAGAACTAACTGGTCCTGGGAGGTCAAGTGTGTAGACTGCATGCCTAATTAGATTCTGATCAAGCTACTAAGTGTACTTAACATCACTTATTGATTAGTTCACTTGAATACTTGACGTTAATTCCCTCCTGCATTCTCTCCAAGACAACCACTGATGCCCATGAAGGGGCAGCCCATCCTCAGCTCCTGGGGGGGGGGGAGAGAACTCCACATGACAACCACTGATGCCCATGAAGGGCCAGCCCATCCTCAGCTCCTGGGGGGAGAAGTGAACTCCACATGACAACATCAGTGGCTTGCTGTGTTTGTCATATATTTGTGAAAAAACAGTGGAAAAAGGAATAAAAGAGGTTCTAAATTCCCCACTTAGAAAAGGTAAAATCTCAGGAACAAAGTCTAGGAGAACCTGATGTCCCTTAAATGAAGCAGGGCCAGACCCAGTTATGACGAGGCTCGTGATGGAAAGGCACGCAGCACCAAGCACGCAAAGCCACAGCATGACGACTCCATCTCACACTACTCCGTGGGCCTCTTCTTGAAGAGAGATTTAGCATGTCCTCACATTCTCTTCAAGTTCCCAAGATACTGGGTTTCACATTTTCCCAGGTACACGCCAATGATGGAAAAAATGCAGAAGGATGACGCAGTTGATCTCTCTCACATACATGAGTCAGAGTTCCAGCTGAGGGTGTGGGATCTGAACACTGCATGAGGCCCGAGTGTCACGTGTTAGAAGTTACGACTACACAGACACACTCATCCATACACGCACAGAATCATGCCGGGGCAACTGGGAGCAGGTGACTAGATTCATCTTGTTATAAAATTCCACTCAAGCTGAAGAGACCATTTCAGTTTGTTCAGACATTGCCCAACGGCTCACCCTTTCAGAACACAATGCCCAAGTTCAGAGAGAGAAAGCATCTTTGAAATGTGCGTGAGGTCACAGGAGAAAATTTCTGCACATGCCTTGCTTTTTGCCCTGCATCCACTTCCGCCATAAATCTGAGCTCTCTGGGCCTGGTTTTGATTTACTGAAATTCTAAACTTAACTATGCAAAGTTTTAATCATTCACAGAAAAATGAAGGCGAAGTCTGCTTGTGGCTCCAGATGGAGAGAGATCGTTATCACCCAAACATTAAAGGATCCATCTGATAAGCTGTTAAACTGGAAAATCCTGAAAGACTGGCAGTCTAGTTTCTGATGTGAGTTGACAGCATGGGTGGAACTTCATAGCTATCCCCAGTTTCTATTAATTAGACATGTATGCTCTTGGAAGAATAATTTTAATAAGTATTTCAAAAATCCTAGAAATTATGTTTTGTGGGAAAAAAAAAAAAAGCTTCCAGAGGAACTCTGCCAGCTGGTTTTACTGGTAAGCCAGCGCCTGGAATAAGACCATCACACAAGTCTCTGCACACCTGATTTTTCATAAGCATCAGGTAGGTTTCCCCAAGTAACTTTCACCATCTCCCAGTGCATCATGGGAAAATAAAAGCTTCTAACTACTGAGGGTGTTACTTAACAGGTGACGGGAAAGTAAGAGAGTCAGTACTGTGAGTCAACGGGGGAGAACTTAGGAGGCCTCCTATGTGCCATCGCACACAGATCTAACATGCCAGATTCCACCACACGGAGGCTGCTGGGATACATGATCCAAACAGTGCCACAAAATCCACAAAGAATGAACTGGGTTCCTTTAGGCAGCTCATGATGCTTCTCCTGTCTACTGGATTTTCACAACTGACAGAATGAGTTGAACAATTCCATTTACCTGTCTGTCCTTTGAGGAAGTATATTAAGAATAATTTAAGATAGCCACAAAGAGCCTATGTGGAAGGAGAAGGGGAAAGAAACAGCTTAGGGAAGTCTCGTACTGAACGCTGTATCCTGAGTCATTTCCAGCAGGCACTGTGACGCTTCTCTTACTCAGTACTTACAAAGGAACTGCTTTACTCACCAGTTACAGAATAAAAACTGCAAGAAAGTGTTTAAAACTTTTTTCACCAGCACAGGTATCTCATTGACCTATGTTTTATTTTGCTTAAATTCATTATTTATTATTTCACATTATAAAAAGTAACCACACACGCATATGCATTCACAAATTAGAACATCTTTATCATACATCAGTATATTTAAAAAAACAAATATTTTCTAATACCAATATAGATATATGCTGATTGCATCTTAAAATATAGAAGCTGACAATAGCTTCATACAGTATTCTCAAGAACTGACATTTTTAAAATTAAGAACTGCATATGTTCCACAGGCAAATTGTAATGGACATATTTGTATTAATACAAATAAATGCTGTTGACATAGCTTAAGCATGATGGCTTGGAATAACAGCTGATTCAAACTAGACACATCATTTTAAATTAAATGAGGACAAATACAACCTAAAGTGCAAACAAATTATTTATAAAATAAATTCTAAGAAATAAAGAAAATCACCCGACTATCATTTTTAAGGTATTTATAGCTCAAAGTTTTCAGAAATCCTGGTAGAATTTTCATTGTCAAATTCAAATTTGGGAATGGCCAGGTACAATAGGTCATGACAATGGCAGGGCTGATCATACCACATGCATCGCTTGCACCCTTTTTAGGGAGGACTTTCCCAGTGGGCTTGGAGGGTCCTGAGAGAACACAGTACCTTTCTGACCTCCTCCGTGCCAAGACCCCCTTCAAATGATTATCCTGTCACAGTAATTTCAGCTAACTGGGACTTTTATACAATCGTAAAAAGGCAAAAACTACAGGACTGTTGTTAACTGGCTGGTTTCCTGCATAGGCAGACCACTCGTCTCTTCTGCCGCCGTATTAAGCACATACTTGAAACGGTTTCACACTGCACTTCACTCTGACGTGGGGATTCTGTAACCACATTATTTTTTGAGAAATATATATTACACCTCCTAGGGAATCTAATCTCAAATATGGAAAGTTTAACATCAGATGCCATTCTTTTCCCATTCATTAAAAAAAAAAGGAAGAAAGAAATGTTAAAGAAAATAAAGAACAAGAAAACAGAGGGCCCCGCGTCATTTCTGTTTTAGTCCTTCAGTCACCTCGTCAGCTCTTGGCTTCACCTCCTTCATCGAGCAGCTGATCTAAGGGTTGGATTTTCTGGATTTTCTTCAGGAAGGAAGGACAGACATTGTGGGAGGAGGAAGAGAAAGAACAAGAAAATGGAGAAATATGGAAAGAATTGGTGGGGGAGGGGACAGAGGAAAAGAGAAAGAAAAAAGAAAACAAAACAATAAATTTTACACATTTAATGTTTACAAAGTAAATAAGCACAGACATATGCTTTGAAGAAATCTAATATCTAACAATGATGATCGAGGAAAAAATAAATTATACATGAAAACAACATGAAATGACCTTGAATTACCAAAAAGCCTGTGTGCTCCTTATCATTTAATTCACACAATTTTCCTACAATTTTAACTCTTTATAACCATAACAGAAATGACACAGGCCTAAGCTACATAGCTGTCCAATCCTAGAGAGCTGATAAGTGATATCCACCCGTTCTTCCTGAAGACCCCAGCATTTACTTGTAAGTACCAGACGTGTCTTTCTCCAAAGCTGCAGGATGCACTGCACACAATTTCTCTGATTAGCAACAACTAACATGATACTCTCTGAAATCACATCAGAAACTGATTTGTGTAAGATTGGACATTTTCACCTGGACATGGCATGCCTGGGAACTGCGGAGAAGGCTTTGCACAACAAAAGGCCGTTTCTCACGGCTCAGGGGCAGGGCACACTCAGAAGGGATGGGATGAGAGCCGCAGCAGAGGGACATGTGGTCAGGCACTGGCATCTCCAGTCCCAGGGACGAACCACAGGGTCTGTGGAATACTCACAAAATAAGAAGCAAGCCAGGGGCGATTTGCTATCAGAGCAGGTCTAGATTCATTTTTCAACCATCAATTACACATACCCCTCAGATTACATATTTATATTGAGAAAGAAAAATCTTGTCTTAAAAATAAATTAAAAAAATGTGGGGGGTGCGAGGGACAGACACCCTCCTGGTTCCAGCTGCCGAGACACTGAAGCAGTAGATAGGAGCTCTCCCGATCCCTCTCCCTCCCTGCCTCTCTAGCTTTTAAAACACATGAAGTAACATAAAAAGGAAACCCATCTTCAACAATGAAAACAGATCAAGAGAGTAAGCAGAGAAGGGAATGCTTCTGAAGCTACAAACTACATTCTTCAACGAAGACATGGCAGGGCAAGGCTCTGAGAGCAGCAGGGTTCCAGGCAGCAGAGGGGGCGCTCAGGATGGGGAGCCCCACATATCCACATCTCAGAAGAGAAACCTTGAGCTGGGTGCACACACGAGGCCCCAGTGCTGAACTGAAGGACAGCCGCTCCTCAGCGGCTGCTGAAAGGGGGGCCCGAGGATCAAGCTCGGAGCTCCCCAGAGACCACTGCCAAGTCCTCAGAACACGGAACTTCGTAGAATAACCACCACAGCAGTATCTGTGTGAGGAAAGGAGACCTAGCAGTACCCACCTCGGGCACCCCTCCAGGACCTCTGTGCCCTGCTCTGTTCACACTCTAACAGAAGGCTCTCGGCAGGCTCAGATCTTTCCAAACTTCCAGGCTCGGTCTCTGGACCCCATTGCCTGTCTCTGGACAAGCTGCCCTGGCTGCCGCTTCCAGCACAGCATGCTCTCCCTGTTCTGGCTTCCTGTTCCAATATTTAACACGAAGGAAAAGCATGCCCTATGCGGTTACCAAGCTTTATTCTGTTACTGCTACTTTTTCCCCATAATGCAGTCCACTCTTTCTTCAAGAAGCATATCCCTAAATCTGGAAGATACCTGTCTATGCTTGCACACCTGCAGTGGCAAATTAAAACCGAGAATCACAATTCAATTGGGTACTTATATGAAGTTCCAATAAAAAAATACATATGAGCAAATTTATTTGAAAATGTTCATGCAGTGAGATAGGATTAAAAGAAAAATCTGAATTTTTATTCTGTTTGGTCAGAAGATGCAGTGTCCTACATGAAGGAGCAAGCCTGTCACTACAGGTGTCTTCATAGGTCAATCACTCATGTAGAGTCTCTCACGGTGCTCTTTAAGCAAAACCACATGCTTCAATCCCAACAAGAAGCAAACAACATGTGTAAAGGAAGACAGGAAGAAGACAAGGACAGAGGTCCCCCAGATCCTCAACTCAAAGTGACGCAAGGTTTTGCTGTAAATCACCTCAGTATGTAGCACCCGAAGCTGGAGTCTCAAGAGACACAGCTGTACCCATGTTTCTGAGTCGTGGGTAGTTAGACACCATGTTCAAGCCTGGTGTTTGAAGGGACGTCACGATAAGCAGCATCTTTACAGAGATAGAGTCTCTGCCTGCAGACAAGTACTTCCCAAGAGAACAAAGCACATCTCACATATTAGTGGGAGCCAGTGAAAGGTTTCATGCTGATTCCCTAACATCAGAGCGTGCTATATAAACTATCCTACCGGCCCGTGACAGCCCCTGGCTTCAGACTCTCACGGGAAGGCAAGCACACTGAGCAAAAGGAGGGGCACCAGCACCTCACTACTTACAAGGTGGCCTTCCGCGCCTGCGTGTCTTTACTTCCAGTGCTCTTTGGGTCAACCGGGTTAGCTGTCCCACGGGAGGTACTTGGTAGGGGAGGATTAGGAGAAAAGGAACTTGGAACAGTACTGGCATTACGAGTCCGGAATGAATCATCTGGAAGAAAAGCAAGTAGTCAGACCTGGCAGGAACGCCAAGATGCTAACTGAAGAAGGAAAAGATTAATGACAGCCAAGTGCTTCTCCCTGAAAATCTTCTGTGACAGACTAATTCGTACAGAGGAAACTGCCCAGAATTAAGGCTTTGAAAACTGTCAACCCTGTGAAGCCATCAGCACAGCTCCCAGGAAGGGACCTATCACCATCTAACAAGTCCTCACAACCCCTGACCTCTCCTGTCCCCTCCCACCTTCTCCAAGCCATCTGCTTGTTCCTATCATTATAAGCTAATTTGCATTTTCTAGAATTTTAGGTAAATGAATGATACAAGCATATGCTCTTTTTTAGCAGTCTTCCTTCATTCTGTATAATTACTTAGAGGTTCATTCATATTGCATACATCAAGACTCCATCGCTTTCATTTGTCTGGTACTGAATGAATATGCCAAAGTTACTGGCAGCTATAATTATATGTGCATTAGCACCAAGTTGAGCTGACTGCAACTCATTCTCCATATACACTTACAATTTTTAAAAGAACTCTGTATCAAAGATCTCAAATGCTGAATGTTCCTTAGTCCTTCCTAAAAATTCATTCCTTTGTTGAGATCAAATAAACAGTTTTTGTATTTTTGTCCTAACTACATCTTGACTCTGGTTCAACAGCTTTGTTGCTGTCTCACTATGCTTTATCTTGTCATGTTAGATGTCTTATAATATTAGTCTGCTTTGTAGAGCTAGTGCACATACTGTACGTGGATGGCCGTGATTTCATTTTAGAAAGATTATTCTGGAAAATAATTTTGGAAATTTGGAAAAAGATTATTTTGGAAATCCTGTTTACAGTATGGCCAAATATATAAATGTATTTTTTGATAATAATAAAAACAACAAAGTAATTAATAAGGGGAAGATAACAATACTCAAAATGTAACCTAACAAAGGAAAAAGAAACTAAGCTCTTGAAATATTCAGATCTTATATCAGATTCCTTTATACATATTTTTAAATTACCATGGATCGATATTATCATTTCTCAACTAATATTCCCAAAGCAGAAAGTTAAAAATAGAGCCACTGGTAAATGTTTTAGCAACATTCCTAGTAGAGTCCTCTGGTCTACTCAGTAGAACCCAGCCTGCAGGAAAGTCCTCCCTGCCACCTGATTGTGGAAATTATGTCCTGTCACAGGGAGCCACTTCCCCTAGCTGCAGGTTAGCAACTGCGTCCTGCCAGAGGGTGGCCACACCCACTGGCTGCTCCCCACCTGTGGCCCTGGACCCCTCCACAGTACATGTGAGTAACTGTAACAGCCTGGGCAGGGATGAAGACCAGGAGGACAAAGCTTATTCACTCTCTGTCACTTCACAGCTTGTTGGCCCCTGGAACAAATTTTCCAATATGTAACACCAAACCCCTGCTGCTTTTCACATTCTTAAAACTTATGGTGAAAACTTTCTATTACTCAACAGGCCCTCAGACTATGAAAAACCCCGTCCCATCATTTTGTCTTTTAGCTCTTTCCAAATGATTAAATTCTGGTTGTTAACACAGTGAAGACAAAGCACTATCATCAAACATTTTCTCTAAGAAAAAGTGTAATTTCACAGAGATCTGACAAATTTGGTGTGGAGAGAACCACTGATTCTATGAGTAAATAGGCCGTTTTTACAAAATCTTATTTTATTAAGTTCAGTGACTTTTGTTTGTTTTGTTTTTGTTACTTACCAGTTAAGGAAAGTATAGCAGTTTTTGCTAGCCCTGAGGCAGAAGGTGTGTATGCTGCTGGGGAACTCTTACTGGAAAAGAACACAACTTAGATGAACACCAAGAACAAGCTCTTCTGGATGCTGCCCGTCTGGTACCCGGCACCCTCTGGATGCCGCCCGTCTGGTACCCAGCACCCTCTGGATGCCGCCCGTCTGGTACCCGGCACCCTCTGGATGCCGCCCGTCTGGTACCCGGCACCCTCTGGATGCCGCCCATCTGGTACCCGGCACCCTCTGGATGCCTCCCGTCTGGTACTTGGTACCCTCTGGGTGCTGCCTGTCTGATACTTGGCACATGAGTCTCAGTAAAAGCCGCCTTCCCCGTCTAGAGAACATGCTTGCTCTTTTTCTCCTCCCTTGTCTTTTCACGCCATGCCTCAAGACACTTCATATGTCTAGAACGTAAAAGCGTTTCCTAGAGTTTTCATGTCATCAGAATTACGGTTTTTCCTTCGATGCTCAGCAGATCTTCATTGTTGCGAGAATTCTGCTGTGACCACTTGGCCACGTGAATGTGCCAGGGGCAGCTGTACTCTATGCGACCAACATAGAAGCTGCCCACACCCTCTGAGCACGGGTGCGTTCCCCTAGCAGCGAAGCGGAGTTGGGCCCGTGGCCCTCCCCACAGGATGACACGCGGACTCTGTGCGAGACAGTGTAGGCACTGTGCTTCCAAGAATGCCAGGCCACCAATTGTTATGCAAACCATATCTCTTTTTTAAAAACAAAGCTTTACAAGAAAAGAGAATGACAAATTATCACCCTCTCACAAAACTCAACATTAATTCTAAATTTGATAACTATGTAACTATTTCACATAACAAAGTTTGATTGCAAAATTAAAAATTTAGTTAAAAAGCTGACAGATCATACCTAGCACACTTGTCTAAGCTGCCATATTTTGCCTGAAAAGCTTGATTATTAAAAGACTGGCTTCGAATCAATTTGGATTTCTTGATTTCTTTGCCTAGAGAAGCAAAAGAAAGAAAATGAGAACGTGCAGTTGTTTGGTTCATTCATCCCATGCTCCCCAACCACCACCATGGTGAGCCTGGCAGAGGCAGGTCTGGGTGCACCATCCCTTCCTGATGGGAGCTGCCTGGCATCTCACCACACGGTCCATTAAGAACCCGCAAAACTCTGGTAAAGGGCCCCAGAGACGTCTGGTAACGGAGCAGGCTTTGGCTGAAGTGCTGGTAAGACATGAAAAGAAGCTCTTACTTGTTGATGGGTTGCCAGAAGAAGGTCCAGGCACGGAAACTGGGATGCTCTTGGGCAGATTTGGCATGGGTGTTTTAGTGTCTCTACCTAAAATAGACTCTGTTTTAGGAAGGGTCATTTTCTCTGAGTCCCTATTCATGTGCAAAGAAATCCACCGCAATGCTGAGAACACCTCTCCCTGCCTCAGCACTGCAGACAGCCTTACCTTGTGCCCATATTTCAGTCGCTGCTACACACTGGCCCACTCCACTGGCTCCCGCTGCCCTTACACACTAAGTTTTCCTTCTGAAAGCTCTGACCCTCCCCATCCCCAACACGTGTACCACACAATCCTCAAAAACAACCTTGGAAACATAAAGAAAGTGAAGCAATTTGAAAATTAAGCAATTTTAAATACCAAATTACAAACTCAGCATGGTCTTTGAGAATACTAAGGGGAAGCATTAATTAATAGAAGTAAGTGGTAAAAGCAGAGGAAAGTTACTTACGTTTCTTTTCAAAGATTTGATCACTCATGGGCCTTCCATCATTCTGTTGCTTCTCCTTTTCCAACTGCTCCTGTTATTAGAATATCAGCTTAGTATTTAGGAAACAGATTCAGGAAACTGTTCCAATGAGACATTATGCTAAGCTTTAGAAATAAATACAAGTATGATTCACAAAAATTGTCAGAAGAAAGTATGCCTTTCCACAGCAGCGTCCAGAGAATTCACACTGGGTCCAGGCCTGTGCTCTTTGAAAAGCTGCAGGACAGTGCAGGGGATGGGTCAGACTAAAACAACAAATGTGGTATCTCTGTCACAGAGGGCCTTTAAGTTCTGTTCACTGATTCTCGTCAGAAAAATATTTTGTTGCCACTGGTTATTTTGATTTCTGCTTGGTAAAAGGCAAAATGCTATTTTTCTGTGAAAAGAGAAAACAGTGTATTGGATTTGTGTCTTACTGATATAAAATATATAAAAAAGAAATTTTGTAAGTGTTTTAACTCGATGAATTTTCCCAAACTAAACCAGCTCTACTATGGTAAAATATAACATCACCAAAATTTGGAGGCCCATTTTCCCTCAGGTTAAAAAAAAATTGGTGGATAAAATATATTCTGATCAAATCTGCCATAAGTGACATGGATGCAAATGGGGAACATTCTTACAACAGCTCATGGAAAAAAGAGAAAATTGACAAGGCAGAGAATTTCCACAAAGGTCTGGATTATATAAACGCATAAATTAGAAACGTTTAGGTGGGCTTAGCAAGGAATCGTCTGTTTGCTCCAGCTTTTCCCCTACTAGCTTCATCCTATTAACTACAGTCACCTTTAAGTCCCTGCTTACTAATTCCTGTGGTAAAATCAGCCTGATTTCTGCCTTGTGTTTAGGTCATTCAGTCCTAAAAATGTCTTGAGTTCTTCTTCTCAACCCCTTCCAACACTGACACTGTGAACCCTAACTTAGCCCTAGGATGCACCTTGCCTCCAGAGGATTTCCACTAGTCTTCAATCTCACAGCACATGGATTCTCAGTAGAGGAATAAAGATACACAACATGTAAATGGACCACATGAAAATCTGAGAAGCAACAAGTACCACATGGAAGATGTAAGCCCCTAGAGAGGCTCAGCAGACAAATGGAGGGGACAGAGAAAGACCTGGTGACACCGAAGATGGCGCAACAGACATGACTCACTTCAACATGGGTGCTATTGCTTTTTGAAGTTTTCACTTATTTTTCAAAGATGTACATATTTTTACTTGAAAGTCAGAGCTGCAAGGAGAGAGAGAATATGAGAGGTCTCCTATCCATGGATCACTCTCCAAATTGTCACAGCAGTGGCGGCAGGAGTTGGGCCAATCCAAAGCCAGGAGCTAGGAGCCTCCTCTAGGTCTCCCACATGGGTGCAGGGGTCTAATGCTTTGCACCATCCTCCACTGCTTTTCCAGGCCCTAGCTGGCAGAGCTGGATGAGAAGTGGACATGAACCAGTGCCCATATGGGATGCCAGCACCACAGACTGGAGAATTTGCATACTATACCACTGCGCCAGCCACAGAGGGGCATAGGCTTTAAAACACTGGCCTGAGGGATAATGACAGAGGATCTAACATGAGTCAAGAGAGAGAAATCGGAACAGGACGTGCATTTAAATAGCAATGGCTCAAATCTTTCCAAATTTGGGGGTGAGTTGGGGTGAGGAATATTTATAGATTTAATAAAATCAGCAAAGCCACAACAGTACAAACCTAGTCAGTCATACCAACACACATCCAAGCAAATTGCTCAAAGTAAAAGAGAAAAGAAAAAAGTCCTCAAGAAAGCCAGAAGAAAACCTCCATGTACAACAGAACAACAAACTCAAATGCCAGCAGATTTTCCACTGGATGTTACTGCGCAGGAAGAAGAAGCTGCCAGCCCAGAATTTTATATCCAATAAAGATATTCTTCAAGAAAGTAGGTAAAAACAAGATATTTTCAGATAAAGGAAAAAGAAAAGAAATCAGTCACCAGAAAGCCTGCACTCAAAAATTTGCTAAGGAAAATTCTTCAGCCTGAAGGGGAAAAGATGTGGCTCTCCCGCAGCGTAGGGAGAGGGCCCGGACTAGCAAGCACCGAGTAAAACAGCAATGCTCATTCTCCTGCATTCCGCTCAACACACAGCAAATCAGGAGAAAACACTGAGCGCTGTGTGACACAGGTGCAATCAGGTGGAGTGCATCTGACTACTGTAACACGGAGCAAGGTGTGGAGTGGGGACAGGGACCTACAGCACTAAGTGAGGCGGTATGAGATTAACGGTCATTTACACAAGAGAAACTGTCAAAAATAATTCCTCAAAAAACTACAAATCATTATTATAAGAATCAGAAGGAGGTTATCACCTTACATTCTAAAGAGAATATGAGAATATCACAAACAACTTTAGACCAACAAATTTGACAGGATGTATAACATGGATATGTCTATCAGAGGTCTATTAGGAGGTGACAGATAAACACGTTATGATATATCCACAATATGAATATTATTCAAAAATAAAAAGGAGTGACCTAGTGACATATGTAACAACACAGATGAGTCTTTAATTATACTGATGGAAAGAAGCATTAAAAAAAGACAGAGCTCCTTTTTATAAAAAATAAAGGAAAGATGCAAATCTACAGTGAAAGAAACAAGATCAGTGGATGTTGGGGCCTGGAGTAGACAATACAGGGAACTTTCAGAAGAGTAAAAATGTTTGATATTTTGATTGTGGTGCTGGGTCCATGAATACGTTCCAGTGTCAGAAGCCATCCAATTGAGGCTCCGATGGCAGGACGGCGCTGAGCAAACCTGCAGCCCATACCACAGTGCCTGGCTTTGGGTACTGGCTCTGCTTCTAAATCTTTCTTCCTACTTTCGCGCACCTGTGAGGCAGCAAGTGCCGGCCCAAGGTCCTGGATCATTGATACCCCTGTGGGAGACCCAGAGAAAGTTCTAGAATTCTGACTGGCTCGAGTCAATCCTGGCTGTTAAGGACATTTCAGGAGTAAAACAGCTGACGAAGCTATCCCTCTCTCTGTCTCTCACCACCTTTCAAACAGGTAAAAATTTAAACAAATTACACTGTACGTTTAAAATATAGTTCATTTTCTAACAATTTTACTTTAGCATATCAGGTTTTTGCAGTGATGTTTTCAAATACAGTTTGTATTCCTCTTTCATATCAAATTTCAGAAATCAGTACTCTTTAGTATTTAAGAAGAAATACAGGGACGCAAACTTGTAAAGGGTTTTTAAGTTTAACAGCAGAGCCCAGCTAACTGTGGTCAGAAAAAAGAATTTGTGTGCGCATGTCAAAGCAACGTACCATTTCCAAAAGAAGTAGTTCTTCTCTTTCTTTCTCTTGGTCCAACAAATCTTTTTCATAAAACTTTTTTTGAAACTGTTTAAAAATTTAGAACAAAAGTTGTGACATGTTAATGATGAGTTTCTGCCAACTTTTAAGTACCTCTTCAATGTCAGGTAGAGAGTCTACTCACAGCATCCATAGACATTTCCATTCTGTCCAATTCTAAGACGGTCTACAAAGAAAAATGTTTCCATCACTCAATCAAATCAGCCAGTAATTGTTAAAGGAGATACTTTTCCAGAGGAAAGTGCAAGGAAGACTACACCGGACAACTCTCCGGCTTTGTCCCACGGTAGATTACACTGATGATCAACCTCTACAGATCAGCACAGGATGCATTTTAACTTCCTAGGCGTGAAAACAGCAAGCCCAGAAATAACGGCAAATATGTAATACACGTAATTTAACTTCTAGTAAACTCAGTGCCAATATTTTCTGACTTTTTAAAATTTTTAATTTTAAAATTCTTAATTTAACAATTCAAATGGAGCAAGCTATGATTTGGCTTAAAATCCAGCTGTGCTAAATTCTCCTGCACTGTCCTTTTACAGTAACAGCTTCTTCCATCTTGACATGTTGGCTCCACACCTCCTCTGCACCCTCCCTTAAGAGTAACAGTAAGGTCTATGAAAAATGTATAATGTATGCCATGAAATATTCTCTTTAAAAATAATTTTTCATACTGAAAAACTGATTAGGTCAGTTATTCTATTTTTTAAAGATTTTGTTCACTTGAAAGTCAGAATTACAGAGAGATGGAGAAAGAGGGAGACAAAGAGACATATCTTCCATTCACTGCACACTCCCCAGATAGTTTCAAGAGCCAGGACTGGACCAAGACGAAGCCAGGAGTCAGAAGCTTCACCCAAGTCTCCCACGTGAGCGCCAGGGCCAAGCACTTGGTCCATTCTCTGCTTCTTTTTCATGCAAATTAGCAGGGAGGCAAATCAGAAGTGAGACTCAAACCTGTACCAATATGGCATCGCAAGGCAGCAGCTTAATGTGCTATACTACACAATGCTCACACCAGCTGTTCTATTTTAATCTGAGATTTATACAGCTTCCTCGTGAGTCCCTGTACTGACACCTCAGTTTGGTAATCATACTACAGAATTCTTATGGGACACATGGACATCATTATGGGAAACATACTTGAGAGCTGTACTCCAGAGCCTGGTGTGATGACTCAATGGCTAAATCCTCACTTTACAAGTGCTGGCATCCCATATGGGTGCCAGTTCATTCCCTGGCAGTTCCACTTTCCGTCCAGATCCCTGCTTGTGGCCTGGGAAAACAGTAAAGGATGGCCCATGGCCTTGGCATCCTGGACCCTAAAGAAGCCCCTGGTTCCTGGCTCCTAGCTTTGGATAGTCTGAGCTCCAGCCATTGCAGCCATGTGGGAAGTGAACCAGCACAGCAGATGAAAGATCTTTCTCTCTCTCTCCTCTGTGTAAATCAGATCTTTACTTTCCAGTAAAAGTAAATAGATTTTTTTTTAAAAAAAAGCTATACTCCAGAATATCCCATTGCAGATTAACAATCCAATAATTTAGTTGTATCGTGTTAGATCTATTTATGGTGCTACTCTGTATTATATCTTGAATTAACAAATTGTCTTTAGAAAAGCAAATAAGCTTGTGATTACTATCTTAACAACTGAACTGCCACATAAACTTCTTATTTAAAAATAATAACAGAAATATTTGATAAAACAATTGTATGTGAGTGATGGTATGTGGTGGAGGGGTGGGGTGGTGTTTAGATTCCAATGGATGTCCAGCACTGAGCATTTCTTGATATTTCATCCATGAAAGAGGAATTCATATTTCAGGAAAATAAAATCATACTAATTAGTATCAAGTTATCAAGTCAATTAAAAATTTTTTCAGGGCCTATGACAAAGATCTGTAGATAAAATATTTGATGCTAATTTATATAACATAATTAATTTCTCTCACTAGAAGTAAATGTTCAAAGACTATTCTGAAATTCAGAGATTTACAAAAGTGATCACTTTTAAGTGACTTGCTCTTATAAAAATATTAATTATAGCTCCACTGTAGCAGCTTTTGAAGGCTATAAAGCATATTAAGATTTTATCTTATGAACCCAAATTTTCACTGTTTTCAGTTTTCCATGATTCCCAAAAAGTCATAGAACATCTCATGCTAAAACAAAATAAAACAAAACCATAAGCAATGTCGTATCACTATAAAAGACTGTGCTCTAGGCTAGGAAAGAGATCTTTACCCCAGTTCACGCTGCCCCTTGCTGAGCCTCCTAAGAGCTGTGTTAGTAAGCCCTGTGGAGCAAAGCTTTCCTGGGGTGCAGTGACTTGTGAACAGAGCCTGGTGAACACAGCTTGAAGGTCATTACCAGCACTTCCCACCCCGTGCCAGCTAGTCCTGGTGGGCATTAGACTTGGACACCTTAGAGTCCTTTGAAAGCAGCTTCCACATTCACTCATGTACTGGTACAACTCCAGCAAGCACTGCCCCACACTGCTGCCCCTCGGCTGAGGCAGGAAAGCAAGGATGAACACCATCTCGCAAGCAATGCAGCTCTGTGGCATCGGGCTACTTACCCGCTTCACAATAGCCAGGACATCCTTGTCTTTCTCTTGACACAGGAGCTTCCTCACACACATTTCTAGCTGCTGAAGGAGATGCTTGTCTGCAGGGATCTTCAGAGTAGATTTTACTTTGGGCAACAGGTAGCAAAGCTTCATTCTATAACAAATCATTAACTTTAGAGTAAATTCAGTAACTATGAAGAATGGTAACAAGAAGCTTAAAAAAAAGTTTTAGGTAGCCTTCAAGTTCATTTACTCCCATTACAGATATTTCTGGAATGCCTGTGATGTGTCAAACTGACACCACAGGGAATCCTCTCTGCACAGGAGCTGGGACCAGGGGCTCAAGCATAAGTAAGTACAATGTCACCATGTGGGGGCAAGCGATGTGGGGAGGAAGATGAGAGAGTGCTAGAGGAGGAGGATTCAACCATTTCAAAGTAGGTGGCCAGAGAGGGCCGATAAAGGTTCCACCAAGACAGCCTTGAAGTGGCAACCCAAAGACAGGAAACGAGCAGTGTAGATACCAGGAAAGGAAGAGCACAGGCAGAGGGAGGGTTGCCTCCAGTGACACTTCACCTGTGATGGACTGCTGTCTGCGCAGTCCTAAGCACAGTGAGCACATGGTGCTGTGCTGGCAGCTGCCTAGCCTGGACAGTGAGAACCGATTCAAACTGGGACACAACGGTCTCAGGCCCCTTCTAGTCCCCAAAATTCCTGGCATGATATTCAGTTAATCTTCACTGGATTTCTCTATGTAGCTACTCAGATGGATCAGAGTAGAAATGACTTCATCTTCTTCTAGTTACTTCTGTCAACTACTCAGCAAGTGATGATCACCACACTAGAAGTATCTCAACAGCAGCAGCGGGAAGCCACACTAGCTCACCACCTCACCAGCTACTCCGACTTAAAAATATCAGTGTTTTACATATTGCTTGCTACTCATGCCAGTCATCTAGAAAAGATGAGCATATGCTACATGTACAAACAACTAGATATGATTAACATGGGAAGACGGCAGGGAGCTCTAGAAGGTTGCCAAAGAAAGGCACTAGCCAACTCAATCTAACTGTTGCAGATCTGACTTCAAGTTCAGAATGGAGTCATCAAGCTTCAAACACAAACTAACAGCTGAGGGTTTAGAATTCCCACTACCAAAGGTATAAGTATTAGTCCACATGTACTTAATGCTATTGAACTACACATTTAAAAAGCACTAAAATGGTAAATTTTATGTTAAAATTATTTTACAATGAAAAACAGGAAACAAAATGCTTGTTTGGTGGAAAAGAAAGACTATCTATCTATACATATATATATATGTATATATATATATATATATATATATATTTTTAATTTCCAAGCACCTCATTTTCAGGCCTGTTCCAACTAATTTAACAGTCAACCAAATTCAATTATCATCCACTGGATTTCAGAAACACAAAGTAGCAAAAACAAGAGAAAGACTTCAAGGCACGACTCCTCTGAATAAATGGGTCCCTCATATGGACAAATGCTTATCCCCCACTGTGAAATGAAAAGAACGCTGGATATTTCATCTCCATCCTTACTATGAGATGAATTAATAATGTCTACTCCTCCTGCTTCTGATGCTATGTGCATATCCAAAGCCTGCCAATCCATCTGGCTTTTACTACTATTTCAACCCAATAAAACTGAAGATCTGAGACAGAACTGAAAGACTGTGCTGCCAAGGCCTATTGGTACACAGTGATTAAGACCACTGAGCTCTATTGATAATACCCAAAATACAAAGTCAACCAAGATATGATGTATGTACAAGTGAATACCGATTGTTCAGCCACAAACATGGGATAAAATTCTGTCATTTGCTACAACAAGGACAGGAGGAAAGACATTGTGTTCAGCAAAATAAGTCAGACACAGAAAGCCAAATACTGAATATTCTCACTTAAAAAGATAATCTCACAGGAAGCGAGAGTAGTAGGACAGCACAGGGTAGAGAAAAGGGGAGATAATGGATCCCAAAATACCCATTTCTAGTATTCTTCAATAAAGTGGAGTGAGGAGTTTACATTTTATAAATCATATACACAACTAGAAAAGAGAAACTGGAAAGCTTCCAACATGAGTAAATAAGGAAATAGAAATATTAATTATCCCGATTTGAAGAGTATACATTAAGTACAGGTAATAAGTTATACTATACTTCATAAACATGCATAATTGTTATGTGGCAATTTTTTAAAAGGCTACTTACTAAGAATTTCAAAGCAACTATAAATGTTTCACCTGATTTTTTTAATTGATCAGGAAACATATTTTAAAAGAAGTTACTATAGAACAGACTGGGCTGGGTCTTGGTTCCCACTGAACCAAGTGAGATTGTCTGGACCAGGTATGGCTGGGTTGTAACACCCAACAGTAAGAACTGGCTGGGCAAAGCCACTGGCTACTGGCTACTGTTCCTGCCAGAACAAGAGGTGGAAAGTCAACCTGGGCCAAGGACCCTCTGGTGTATGCAAGATCTGCCACTGGGAGGAGACCTGATAGAGGAGCTTAGGAAATTTCTTTGTCTGACACAGTCCCTGCAGGTGAGCTCAAGAACCAAGGCAAGGAGCCGCCCAGATTAGGCCAGGTTACAGAATCCATTGGCATTCATGTGGATCAGGTCTGGGGGCGGGCCAGGCTGAACCAGTTCTTAACACCCATAGGCAGATCTGAAAACCAGGACGGGGTATAGGAGGGACTGGGTGGGGCTGCAACACCAGCTAGTTCGCATTAGTGCCAAAACTGGGGGTCAACTGGGCTGGGCTAGGCTGCAGCATGCACCAGCAGGAGCTGGGAGTAGGGGCAGGCTGGACCAAGCCAGGCCACAGCACTCTCTGGTGAATGCCAGGGTGAGGCAAGCTAGCCAATCAGGGGACAGTGGGTGCCAGGTTCATAAGCCCCAGGGGCAGGGTTTCCTGGCTGTGGTCCTTGGGCCTGCCTGCGTGATGTGTGCCAGGTTCATGAGCCACGGGTTAGGGGTCTGGTGGGTCCCAGGTGACCTGGCTCGGGCCCTTAGGCCCACCTATGAGAACCAGTCTCCTCAGTGGAAAAAATGGAGCAGTGGATGCCAGGCCCTGATGTACATGGAGGTTATGGCAGCCTACCGGGGCCTGCAGAGCACATCTGGTACCATAGCAGAGGAAGTAGAACAGAACAAGTTGGACAACTGCCCCAGCAAAACACTGACAGCAAATATCTGGGCCGATGGACACTCTAAGGTCAACTATGTCAGCGAACAGATATTGGAAGGGTTTCCCTATCCTTGGATCAGCCAAGATCGACAGCTTTTCAGAACTATCAAAACCACCAGGGCAAAACACTTGCAGAATACTCCACATCAGGACCCTGGGTTGATACTGGGTGGCTGTTCCCCATCCCAGGGTACTTGGCAGTTGGGAGGCTATGTATGGCTCCTCCCCTTATCTCCCCGCTTCTTCCAGTAACAGGAAGAAGAAATAGAAAAGTTGAAAACAATGATTACATCCACTTTACCCTAACCTTCAATCTGTCCCGCCCTGATCAACCGTGTAAAGATCACCTAAAATAAAGCCAAACAATTTTTATAAAAGAAGATATATAAGAAATGGTTTCAAGTGTTTGTTTAGACCAATACATACCTCACATTTGCTACTGGATCATGTGTCAGTTCAATAGCAGGTAGAAAGAAATATTTACAGAAAAATGATTTGGAAAATATATCTATAATAAATTCACAGGTGTCCAAAAATCGAAGTCTATTCCAATAACTTTTTCCTTGACCCAGTTCTAGAAACAATTACAAAAATGATCAAGTTAAATTTTCCTACATGAAACTACATGTGAGAAAATTAAATACACAAAGTCCATCACAAGTTTCTTTATATGAACATAAATAAAAGAAAAAAGAAAACGGTACCCCAGATGGCAACTCCAAAATGATTAGCATCTTTTAAAAAACAACAAAAAGTGTTAGTAAACATTTGTTGGTTCCATATAAATTTATGAACTATTGAATGGCTACACCTTGTACTTTCAGTCACTCACTATATATGGTAAGTGCTGAACGCGTAAAATCTCATTTAATGGTAAAAGGCAATCTAAGCAAATAGATACATTTATCCCTCCTAAGAGAGAAGCCTGGGATTCTGGGGTGGGAGCCAAGAGGCTGGCAAAGCACAGAGACAGAATTCAAAGGCAGAGATGCATCACTCCAAAACAGTTTAATCAATTAATGTTATTCCTTTGTAGTGGACAAAGTCATAAACAAACAGTATTATGACAATATTTCACTCAATACTGGAAGGATAATTTTCTCCTTTTCATATAAGCGATCAAAAGCAAAATTCTTAATATTTTAAGCCACACAAAATCTTTTTCCAATGCAAAACTTATTCTGTATGTAAGGTCCTTCCATCAGAAAATGAAAAACTCAGAGTAGCTTACAAAAAGCAATCCAGTTAAGTCTCGTGAACATCATTTTTCTTAAATGGATTTTTTAAAGTACTCTGATGCTTTGAAAATGGCAATCCAAACTTAAAAGGTTAAACTCCAGTAGCAAGAAAATCTGATTATCTGCTCTGCTGGGTAACAGAGTCCAATGAAAAGTTACATTCAAAAAGTTGTATTAAAAGCAATTGTGTAAAATTAACAAATTCACTAAGTACAAGGTTCTTCAAAAGTTAGTGGGAAATGGAATTAAAAGGCAATGTGCATCTTCCATAAACTTTTTGATGTTTACAGTATGCCACTACTTCTGAAATTAAACCTTAATTTGTTGTAAATCATGTTTTTGCCTTCCTGCTCCTGCAGAGCTTGGGAAGACAACAGTGATGGTTCAAATCACGAGATTCCTGCGCCTGCTGAGGAGTCCTAGACAACACTCCTGGCTGCCATCCTCGGAGAGAACTCACAAATGGGAGTATTTTTTCTTTCTGTTTCTCAAATGAATAAACAATTCAAAATAAAAAATGCTTGGGGTGGTGTGTCAGACTAAGCCTCTGCCTATTGTGCCAGAATAGATCTCTAAATAAATCCACCTCTCTGATAAAAATAAATAAATTTTAAAATCAAGACAATATCAATATCCATATAAGCACTTCATATTTGGGAACTGAGTAGTAACACTGTATTCTTAATAGGACTTAAGACACTAAACGGTGGTAAAATTAACAAATGTATGATGTTTAATAATGTTTTTAGAATTCCCAAAAAAAAAGTTTCGAATGATATTAGTATATCCTTTTCACAAACAAAAAGGCATCCTGTAGGCAAGCACAAATAAAACACAAGGTCATCTTAAACCAGGCCTATTATACTTAAAAGTTCAGTAAACCAGCAAGGAATTGAGGGTAACTGGGACTTAGTTTAAGAATAAAACATTTCCATTATACTATTGGGTGAATAATGAGTATCTGAATTAAATCTACATACTTATTTATAATGGTTATCTTACTAAAAGCAATCTTTAATATGTGTACTTGCCATTAAACAAAAAAGTACTCACTAATGAAGTTTCTCTCAAAGATAAAATGTATGTCTCAAAGATTCTTTAACCTATTTGGGCAGCTTATTTTGAAAACAAAAGTGCCCTATTGGATTCCTTTGGCCCAACTCTGTGAGAGGAGCAGAGACTATGGACAACAGGAGCGTCAGGAAATGAACTTTTCCAGTGCAGAAGGGCAGGGAGCGGCCATGATGCTTTTGGATAGAATTGACTCTGGACAAAATTGGTTTCTTTCATTTTTACAGTGCAGAGTAGGGGACTGATTTATTAATGTTATGTTGCAATTACATCTTTCCATTGCTCCCCAACTTACTTCCCTGAATCACAGATGATGTAACTATTTTTGAAATAACGGCCACGCTTCATGACAAATCCCATGGAAAACAAAGATGTTAATCTTGTATCCTGCTACAACAACAACAAAAAACAAAACACAACTACTTCCTTTCAAAGTGCAGTTACCCTCAAAACTGTTTACAGTTGTGTTCCTTTTGGGTGATAAAACAAGTGTTTTCATACTCTTGGACCAGATCCTATGTTACTGCCTTGGAGAAACCCTGTGGTTTATGTGCATAATCACCTCTCTTTGATCCAGACAACAAAGGCACAAAATACCAACCTTGGGTCTTAGAGAAACACGCACTATTACCACTATCCATCTGTGAGTCCTCTCCTTGTCTGAACTAGATAAATACCTAGCTGGTCAGCACTCGCATTCCTTGCAAGGGGGCTTGAAATGTTTAATACAGAAATAACTTTAGGTTGGAGATAAAGAACTAAAGCACATGCTACCACAACCCAGGAAAATATTAAGAAAGATTGGATTTTCTTACGTATAAAGAATTGAATATCATTCAACGAAAAAAAAATCATTTTGTGATGATATTTATCACTAGTTCAGATGAGTGGTTAAGGAAGGGGCCTCCTTGTCATTTTCATTATAACTTAATTCCCTTTTACTTGATCCTTTAATTGAGTCATAAATTTATAATAATTAATTATCACAGTAAGCCAACACTAGTAACTACCCACCTTCTTTTTTTTTTTTAATTGTTAATAACATTGTATTATGTGATACAGTTTTTTTTTTAATTGTTAACTACCCACCTTCTGGTACCCTGTCAAATATCAAACAATGGAAAGATGGAAAAAATATCTTATTTTAAAACGGGTTATAAATTGTAAAATTCTAAATTTATTTAACTTTCTAAAACATAAAAATAAATATATAAGTGAATCATTCATTGGACTGTTTCCAAATCTCCCCTCACGTTTCTTAAGGGGTAATTTTCCTCTATTTATTTTCTTTAAAGCAACTGTTTTCGACCTGTGGCTTTGAAGACAGACTCACAAAACCAACACAGCAGCAGGGGTGTGAAGCAGCTTTCCCAAAAGCTGCTTGAGATGTGTATGTAAGCTGTGAGTTTTATTGAATTTGTAGGATACAAGTTTTGTTTTTAAATTGCATTTCCAACTGTTTCACAAAACTAGAGCAAAATATTCCAGAATAAAAGCTGTGTCAGTTGCACTTGACACATTAAATGCACAAATGAACAAGGTACACTATCGGCTGTATGTTAACTTACATGTACAACTTTTGGCCTCACAAATGTATGTTTTTATAAATCGCTTTTATTTATAAGTGGCAGTAAGTTAACAATACAAAGAAACCTGCACTTGTAGTCCAGACAACTGGTCTATCATGCAACATATGGAAATATGAAGGACAGTTTTGTGCATTTGTTTGCTACTAACTCAGATTATTAAAATTAAAACAATTTTTAAATAATGAAATCAATAATAATATTTAAAACAATAATTACTTACGTTCAATTAACTTTTGAATGACCTCGTGTCTCTGTTCCTGCTTGCGGTTATAACGTAGAAAAATGCATAGAGTTCGTGAAGCTGCCTTCTGGACAGGTAAGACATTCTTAGAGAAACATAAAGGAAAAGCAATTACAGCCAAACATTATGTATTTTGGGAAAATTGGCCCAACCAAACCAACTTTGTTGGTTAAAAATAGAATGTTTGTTGCTCATCAATCTCTGAACTTAGATCCTTCAAGAAATGTCTTCATAACTTAATGTTAATGTCACCCTGCTAGTGTAGTTCATCTCCAACTCCCTTAAAATCAATCCTGCTGTCACTTCTACAGAGTGTAAGTGCAAGCTCGAGTTCTCCACCTCTTACAACAGTGCCCGACACATAGTAGCTACTCAGTTCGGTAATTGCTGAAACAAATCACCAGTATTTTCTGCTTGACATTAAGCAAAACATTCTGCTTGGTTCATTCACGCAAATGCAAAATTCATAAGGATGCTATTGTCAGAAATTATTTGCTGTCCAGATCCCTGGGTCCTATCAACCTTCTCTTTCACCTGCTTGCACTCTCCCGGCCAACAGCGCATGAACAAGGGCAAGCGGAAGCACCACCTGTTCTGGCTCCACCTAGGAAGGAGTTGACCAAACAGAGGACCAGAGGAGGAGCACAGAGGGGGCCGAGCTCCCCGCTCCGCAGGCTGGGAAAATGTGGTCCTCCTACAGAACGGGATGAACCCATGTGCTGCACCACCGTGAGACTGTGCAGAATCGGGCAACCTCCAAAGCAACCACGAGCTGAGAGGACAGGCAGCAGCGGGACTTACATTTGTCATCATGATTGTGAACATTCTTTGCAAGAAACGATAATAAATCTGATCACTTGATATGACGTGTGGCAGACAGGCGTATTTCTGCAGTAGTTTCTCATGAGTTCTCCATTTTAGAGAGGCTGCTGCTCGCTGTTCAGCGGCAGCCAGTGCTGGAATCAAGTCCGGCAGAGCCGACAGCTGAAAAAAGGGGCAACGATAATTAAGTAAACCACACCTGCAACATTCAGTCAAGTTATTAATTCTCATAATACACTGAGGAGGAGACGAATTCTGCTCATTTCTGAGGTTAAAAGGCTTCTGAGATATTACAAATCACTTTCTAAAACTCGGTGAGCAAAATTTATGGAAACCAAATTTTGAACTAGAAACTGGGACTCATTATTTCTTTTTTTTTTTTTTTTTTTTTTTTTTAAAGATTTATTTTTATTATTTTTTCATTGGAAAGGCGGATATACAGAGAGGAGATACAGAGAGGAAGATCTTCCATCCGATGATTCACTCCCCAAGTGAGCCGCAACGGGTCGATACTATGCCGATCCGAAGCCAGGAGCCTCTTCCGGGTCTCCCACGCGGGTGCAGGGTCCCAAAGCTTTGGGCCGTCCTCAACTGCCTTCCCAGGCCACAGGCAGGGAGCTGGAAGGGAAGCGGGGCTGCCGGGATTAGAACCGGCGCCCATATGGGATCCCGGGCGTGCAAGGCGAGGACTTAACCACTTGCGCCACCGCGCCGGGCCCCATTATTTCTTTTATTACTTTTTATTTCTTTTTATTACTTTTCATAGCAACTCTTTTGATCATTGCTAAATACATTACATGTTGCTCTCAGCAAGCTCTGACCTGACAAAATTCAGGCCCTCTGTCCTCATTTTTTGTTCTGGGATAATCATTACTGCAATGAAAACCAAAGATGTGAACATGAATTTCCAAGAATGCTGGTGCCAGAAGAATCATGATGAACTACAGAGGAAATCCAAGCTGTACAAACCCCTAGGGACTTGCACTGGGCGCCTGCCACATGGCTGGCACCATCTCAACCGTCTTCCACACATTCCTTCACTGACTGCACCACTGCCCTACAGGGCAGGAAAAAACAACGTTGTAAAGCTTTTGGATGACAAGGTGTTTACCTTATTTTCCTGCACACTGCTTTCCCCACCAGTAGACATAAGCTCCAAGATTTCCGGAAGATGGTCTATCAGAGCATCTAGTACCTTTTAATAGAGATATTGATTACTCTTATGTTGACTATTGTGTTCTTCTAGGTTAGCCAACCCAACATGGCAGTTTTTACAAAGAAATAGTGCTGTGTACCAAGACACATTTTACATTTTGTTAACTCCTGCTTCCCTATTCTATAATCTCCTTACTAGAAAAGTCTTGATCAAGCTACCATTAAAAAGTGCATCCATCTCGATATGGTTCAGTCTAATCTGACACTGCTGCTTCTATAACTAATATACTCTAAAACTAGTTCCTGACTTTCAAAAGGTGACTTAAATCAGATAATACAATCAACAATATCAAAATATTGATGAGCTGAACTTCACTTGAGTCACTCAAGTGAATGGTATATACTAAATACAGTGTCAAAATGAAGTATCTCAAGAAGTCTTCACAGTTACACAGTAGATGGTAAAGTAATCCCCAAACAATACCAAGGTGTACACATGGACATACATTTACACTTATAAAGAAACAGAAAAGATTTACACAGAAATATAAAATGGAAAGATTGCAGAACAGTAACGGTGATAGGAATTAAAGGTACTCTTTTACCTGTTTGTATATAGAGATGTATATACATACATTTTTAATTGAATATTTTAAGTCCTAATTTTTTAAAAGACCTTTCCAGTATTCTGTCACAGCTGAAAGAATATGCAACTACCAGGAGTTGAGGAAAATGGCCCTGACCTATTTGAACTTAACATGAAAGAAGTATAAAGCAGAGTAAGAAGATATTACCTCCAGTGATTCATCTTGTAATAATGCTATTAGTTCTTTATGTATTAAATATACTCCAGAATTCAGAAGTTTAGATACCTGAAATGTAGCGATAAAATCCCTCAGACTTGAGACAACTAAAATGTAAAGTTGAAATATTAATTTGAAAAAAAATACATCCTTTTCAGACAATAAAACTAGGTTATAACACATGTATAAAACCAGACTTCTAAAAAAATAGTTGCATATATAACCATTTTTTTAGTTTACTTCATATCATACTAGGGGAGCAGAGTATTAGTGAAGAGATGAAATCTACTGAAAATAAGAATTTATGATGCTTCTCAGAGAAAAGGTGGAGATTTTATTATTCCACTTAAAGAGTTACTCTGTGACAGCTTTAAAACTGGCAAGTAATGGCTGCCATGTTTACCACAACTATAATACATGTATGCTTATTAGAATTGCATAAAAAACATGTTCTACATTTCAACCTCAAGAGCTTAACAGCTAACTATACTCATCACAAAAGTTTTAATTCACTTTTGCTCTTATCTGATGAAGAGCTATAATAGCTGAAGCTAAGAGCTATACTCAACTATATGCAATCCATTTGCAACAAAAATACATTTAAAGAATTCATCTCAATTTTCCATTTGTTTTATTTATTTTTTAGGGTAATATCATATGCACCATTTATTAAAAACTGGTAAAATGGAGAAAAGTATATTCTATATGCTGTAACAGACCACTGACATCCACTTGTAGCACCTCCAGGAATATCGGATTCTATGAAACCATTCAGAAGTTAATTGACAAGCAAAACATTTTTTACAGATGATTAATTTACACGTTAATTTACCAGTTGCTCTTTCATTGGTGCCTGGCTTCTTAAGTTAACCAATCCCATTCCGCCATCTTGATTCTTACCCATTTGTTTTAAAGTGCTTAGATTTAAATGCAAAGTGTAATTAAACAAAACACATGAAAGCTGACCTTACAAATCTGAAACACCCATACAGATACAACATCCAGCTTAAACGCTTAATATAGATATGCTAAACAAATGCATTCATAAATAAATGAACATAATGTATTATGTAATGAATTCTGCAAACATACTAAAAAGAGAAGACAAATGTAGGAATTTTAAAATAAGATTTAGCACCAGAACATGCAAGAGATATGGAGTCGATCCCTTACAATAAATCTGTAAACAGAAGCATACAAAATACCAAAATAGCATCTAGCACACTATGAAAATAACAACAAATGAAAAGGGATATCAGTTCTTCAGACTTACTTCATAAAAGCAAATAGCAATAGTGTATCTGACTGGCACTTCAGGGTCATGACAAAGGCAGAAGAATGTAGAATAGAGTTCCATGTGGAAGTTTTTGGGATCAACAAAAACAATCATGGCCTGGTGAAGGTGGAGAGGAGATGAATGGGAGAAGAAAACATGCATCAATACCGAGTAGGAGAATCATTTCATTTAAACGTGAATCATGTTCTCTGAATTGTAAATTAATTGGAAATAAAATCTTGAAGATATCAACACATGCACATCATTTCAATTTATACAGAGAAATATATTTTTCACAAATAGTTACTCCGAACCTGCTGCTTGTACCAGACACAGTGATAAGCAGCTAGAGTCACACTGGACGATATATTTAATGCTATTCAATCACGTTATAAAGCTGTAGTTAAGCTGCCCAGTAAATGGAGATATATATAGTCATTACCGGAAAGTTATAAGCACAATTCTTCCGTACTGATACATATTTCTTTTCCTGTTCTAGGACTTGCGTGGGAATCTGGTTTTCATTGTGTCCATTTTCTTCTTGCAAACCCAGTGTACAAAGTTTCTTATAAAATTCCAAAAATCGCAAGTGTTGATCTGGAGTAAAAATTCCTAAAACAAATATGAAACTCTTGTTTCATTTGAAAACAAAAATTAAGAAAAGAACATGAAAGTACAATAAAAGCATAGTGAAACCAAACAGTTAAATAAATTGTTACATGTTGCTAATAAATACAGAAATTAAGCCTATATTAATCTCTGTAACAGGCCTGATACTGTAAACCACCAAGTCACTATAATTATCATGTGTGGCAATTTATATACATAACTAATTACCTCTAGTAAGTATTATAAAATTGCTTGAAAAAAATACATGTATGCATCAGCAGAGAAGGAGCTTACAACTTGAATGTGGACGACGGCCGAGCGGGTTCAAAACAATGGAATGGTTACACATCCCTTAACTACCTCCAGGAGCTAACAACTCATAAACATTGAAATGCAATATTTAGAGTCTACTAATGTCTACAATTCACATCTATAAAATATTTTACTATCCTAGATAGCTTATAACTTAAGTTTCACTTTATTGTAGCAAGGGCAGAACTAAGTAATGTACTCAAAATACTGAGAGTTACAGGCATTTTTCTATATTCTGAGTTAAATTTCTCTTATATTGATTGTCCAACAAATGGTTAAATAGTACACTTGCTACTGATCAATACCTGAACTTCTACTAACACATACCAGCTAGTACATAAATATTCAAAAATTCAAGAGGCAATAATTAATTTCCTTCAAATAGGTTTAACTGGTAAAAATATTATTCCTAAACGTAATCTAAATTACTCCATCCAAGTTCCAAGACCTTGTAAGATTTTATACACTTAAAGAATAGGCTTTACAACTAAGAGCTAAAGTCTATTTGCTAACATAGAAGAAAAAGGGGGAAAATGAGCACAACCTTAAATTTTTTAGGATATATCATACCATATAATCCATGGCATAGTTTTCCTAAATGGAAAGATAAGGAAATAAGAATTGATTCATCTGCTTTGAAAGATTTTTCACAAAATGATTTCACTAAGGGAAGTATAGTTTGATTTCTGTCATCTGGAAAATAAAACAAATGACACATAATTTAGATTGAGCTGTCTACATTGCACAGGTAGAAACTAATACACAAATAGATTTCACAAAGAGTAATTACTAGGTAGCCCCAGGGAACCAGGAAATATCTACCAACAACGATGACGGAGATGGGTGGCAAGGAAGGGGTAGGAAGGGGGTGGGAACTGTCAGAAACGTCAGTGTCTGGTTAAGGGGCCTGCACTTCATATGGGGCCACAGGAAATCAAGAGTATTGCAAATCAAAAACCTAACATGACAGAATCTGATCTGAATAAATGGAAGAAAATTTAACTCCTACTAGAAGTAGAGAAGTAGGGCGTGGGTGAAATGCTGGTTCTCATACCATGCTGTGGCTTAAGCTCATGCTATTGTTTCAGTGAGCTCATGGTATGTTCTCTACCTTGAACTTGATCATGTTTTCCTGTTTGATGACTCCTCCTTCAGAAGCTAATTCTTTGACTACATCAGCTCAGCTCATAAGTACCTGACATACTAGCAATATTTAAAACTTATTTATAAATATGCTCTAAATTTTCCACAGAGCGATTAAACATCCCAAATGAATCACTACTTTATCAAGTGTCTTAATAAATACTGAGGAAGGCTTTGCAACAGGCGGATTAAAGCTGCCGTTACTATTCACTCTCATCATCACCTTTCAGAGCGAGATCTGTGTCATCATTTGTTCATCCTGCAGTGAATGTCTCACCAAAAAGTGTTATACAAAGTCACAGGAGTAACAAGATCAGTAATAAATGGATCACTGAAACTCAGAAACCTAAACCAGCAGAGCGACCCAGCAGCAAAAGAAAAGGCAATGTCACTGTTGGAACAGTTGGTATAAGACAGGAATCTGCAAACTTTTTTTCCCCCAAAGTTCTACACTTTGCAGAGGAAATTCATTTAGACATTTTTTTATTCATGGCAAACAATTGAGAAAGTTAAAAGGTAACTCCCAAACCAAGTTCTTAGTCCTAAACATAAGTCAGTTAAATTTTGACAAGAGAAAAGAGAGGTACATAAGATGTGGCAACACTATATATCATGAGAGTGAAAGTAGGAACAGAGAAGATACCCCCCAAAAAAAAAGAATCATGGAGACAGAGAGGAATGGAAGCTTAAGACTTTATCATAAAACTTAACACAACCTAAGTTTCTTCTTATAATACAAAACATATGCGGACACTGCTTGAAGCTGCGAAGAGGCATCCCTGTGAGCATTTACCTGCGTCAAAAATGTCGAGCAGATTAACCAAAGTTTCAAAAGCTGCAAGTCGCACACTGCTGCCTTCGTCCCTAGAGAGTTCTATTAATTCAGGGAGCACTACACTTTTTGTAAGTTCTGTCCTGCACAATAAGCAACAGAAAAAAAAAATAAACCAAATCAATACATTTCCAACCAAAACTTGCTGGGAGCTGCAGAAAATGTTAGAAGTCACAGAGGCAATGGTTCCAGCTCTCCAGGATCTTGCTCGGGTTAGGAAAGCATGACATCAACACAAAGATAGTGAATGGATAATTGCTGACACAGATTCTATTCCTCCCTGCATAATACTGCTGCCCACAAAGATCTTAAGGACCAGGTGTCTAAACTGTATGAACTGGCATGCAATTTTTAATTTTAAGCAATTTTAATTAATGATTTGGATTACTTGGGCCTAGTGCAATAGCCTAGTGGCTGAAATACTCGCCTCGCATCTGCCAGGATCCCATTTGGGTGCCGGTTCGTGTCCCAGCTGCCCCACTTCCCATCTAGCTCCCTGCTTGTGGCCTGGGAAAGCAGTCAAGGAAAGCCCAAAGTTTGGGACCCTGAACCCGCGTGGGAGACCCGGAAGAAGCTCCAAACTCCTTGCTTCGGATGGGCTCAGATCTAGACTTTGGCAGCCACTTGGGAAGTGGATCAGCAGATGAAGATCATTCTTCTTTATCTGACTTTCCAATAAAAGTAAATAAATCTTTTTTTAATTAAAAACGAAAACAAAGCATATACTTATTAGGGTGGGCATCTGGGGCCGTAGACAAATTCCTACTTGGGATGCCTGCATCCCTCGTTGGAATGGTTCAATGGTTCAATGCCTGGGCTTCTAATACAGCTTCTTTTTTTTTTTTTAAAGATTTATTTTTATTATTTTTTATTGGAAAGGCGGATATACAGAGAGGAGAGACAGAGAGGAAGATCTTCCATCCGATGATTCACTCCCCAAGTGAGCGCAACGGCCGATGCTATGCTGATCCGAAGCCAGGAGCCTCTTCCACCTTAACCACTTGCGCCACCTTGCCGGGCCCTCTAATACAGCTTCTTGTTAACACATACACTGGCAGGAAGCGGATGATGGCTCAAGCACTTGGGCCTCTACACCACAGAGGAGACCTGAGTTCCAGTTTTCTAGCTGATGGAGCCATTAGGAAATACACAAAAGATCTCTCTCCATATTTCTCTTTCTCTACGTCTATCTCTACCCTTCACATTGAGAAAAGAGATAACAAAGCACCATTTACTGATGAATTCCGGCAGCTGTGAAATGCTTGGGACAATACCACCAAGATCAAGTCAGAGCGTTTCCATCACCTTGCCATGTTCCACAGCCTTCTCTAACAGGTCAGCTTTTAGCCACTACTTATGGGCTTGCACATGTCGTGCAGTAAATGGTCTCTCGTGTTTGACTTCTTTCCTTTAACGTACTGAATCTGAGATTCACACAAAGCACCTTCTATGCACAGTGTTCCACTAAGTGGACATACCACTGGTTTCTCCACTCGCAGGCGGACAGCCGTGCGGACTGCTCATAGAGCTGCTGCAGGTCTGTGTGTACAGTGAGCTTGGTGCTGTGAATGCACTTCCACTTCTTGCAGAACACAGGGAGAAGACATGCCTGTTTGACAGCCTGCATGTAAAGCAATGGCATCAGTGCACTCACCCAATGCCCTGCGCTATATTCTCCAATTGCCGACACATGCAAGATCGGACTTCATGTTCTACATCTTGACAGAGTGACTTTACCAGGGGCAGGATTTCTCTCTTGATGCTGAGTGAAGGCAAAAAAGAAAAATGCAACTGAGTGTTTTAAATCAACATCAAAAACCTTACCTTAACAATAACAAATTTTAACAACAGCCTATTTATAGCTTACAACGTATTTTTACACATTACTAAATGTAGATGCTATCATCATCCACTTATAAATTGCACATGTCTCTTAAAAACAACAGTTAACTTCGGATTGGCACTTAAATCTACAACTAAAATGAAAGGCTATCTTTGTGGAATATTTAATTCTATCAACCATCAATCAAAAAATCTTCAATTCTGTACTTTATTCTCATAAAACACAACCTTCTGTTAAATCCATCTAACATTAGTCACCTGAGAGGAGCATGCAAACTTTAAACATGCTCCATAAAACCTCAAAAAGATAAGTTAGTAGGAATAATGAACTTATAACAATAACATGGGAAAAAACAGACTTCTACCTTTATGCTATTTTAACTAATCTGGAAAGCCTATATGATTATCATATTTTATCTTCAAAAATACACTGGGTAGGGATGGGAAGAAAAAAAATGTTTGGTAATTCTGAAAAGCCATGAGATTGAGAAAAAAATGCCTTTTTAAAGATGTATTTATTTATTTAAAGGGCAGAGTTGCAGAAAGGGAGAATCAGAGTGAGGAAGCTCTTCTATCCATTGTTTCCCTCCCCAAAGGACCCCAACAGGCAGGCCTTTTTTCAAGTTTTCCCAGCAGGAAACTAGATCAGAAGTGGAGCAGCTGGAACATGAACCGTGGTTCCCATATGGGATGTCAGCGTCACAGGTGGCAGCTCAACCTACCACACCATAACACTGGCTCCAAAATGCATCTTAGCAAACTTCTGAGAATTCTATAAAGTTAAAACAGCTAAACTTGTGTACATTATGCAATAATGCAAATCTAATACAACTGATAATTGCAAAGTAATTATACACTTACAAAAAAGAACAAAAAATAAGCCAAATATTAAGTACAAATACTCACGTATGGGCATCAAATTTGTTGGTCAATTTTCCTAAAATTTTACAGCTAACTAAACGGGACTGGATTGTTTGAGAAAGTTGTGCCTTGGAAACAAGTGGATTCAAAATCTAAAGGGAAAACAGCCAGAGAGCACATTACACAAGTGTACACTTTCTTGCCATAGATGTGCACTATTTTAAATAATTTAATGTTACAAATATTTTTTAAAGAACCTGAACTAGAATTGCAGGTGCATGGATATTTGTAACCCGGATCACTTAAGGTCAAGATGATGATACATCATGCAATTCACAACAAACAAGAACAACAACAACAACAAAACATAGATAGGGGTGGGCATTGTGGTAAAGTGGGTTAAACACCTGCTTGGGATGCTCCCAACCCATATCGGAGTGCCTCCATCAAGTCTTGGCTATTCTGTGCTCATTAATACACCTGAGTTGAGGCAGTAGCCAGGCAACTTAAAAAGAATTAGCAGAACTAACATAAACACATGGAAAAATACTCCACAGTATAATAATTTAATTCCCAGTAAAATGTAATCCCACATGTGGACCATTAAAAATTAACTTGGAACACTGTTGTTGGTAGATATCCAGAGAAACAACATTTTCAATACTATTATTAATCAAAAACTTAAGAATATCAATGCTGTCTGACTCAGTAATTGCATTTTTTCAGGGAAATCGCACAGAAGAAATCCCCTGAAAAACAGGAAAAGCTCTATAGAGATGTTCATTAATGCCTTAGTCTTAGAGTAAAATTTCAAACTGAAAACAGGCTTGAAAAAAACAAAACAAACAAAAGAATAAAATAAAATAAACAGGCTTGAACATTCAACAAGTATTTTGAGTGAGTTTAAAATATAGGAAAATGACTCCTAGAGAAAAATAATCACATGTAAATTGAAATATGATCACTAATCTGGCAAGAAGCAACCATATATATGGAAAAATTTGAAAGGCAGTATATCAGAATCTTAAAATAACAAATTATTGTTCTTCCTTCTAGTTTCTGTATTACTCAAATTTTCCACAATGAATATGCATTGTTTTCAAAATGGAAAACTCTATTCCTTATAAAAAAAAAACTTAAAAGATTACTAACATATCCTTGCACATTTTTATGGGGTACAGTACAGTGCAATACTTCAACAAATACACAAACCATATACCAACTGAACCAGTCAACCTTATCTTTTTCCATTTCCTTATCTTTTGCTTGTATTTGCAGCTAACTGTCCTCCAGTTCTTTAGACAGAACAGAAAGCTCTGCTGTGGACTGCAGTCGCCACGCCAGGCTAAGGAGCAATCTACAGAGGGACTACACCCACCACGTTTTGGCACTCAACATTCAACCTCCCCCCAATCTTCCTTTCCTGCCCCATGCCTTTCCCAGATGCCGCTAATCACTATTCTAAGTTCAGGTGGAGTTCTTTAAATTTCCACGTGAGAGGACAATAAGTTGAACTTGTTTCTGTGTGTCTGGCTTACTTTACAAAATATAATCACCTCCAATTCTATCCATTTCATTATGGGTGCCGGGATTTCACACTACTCATGACCGACTCACTCCACTGTGTGGTTTCTTCGTCCATTGGTTTACTGTTGGACACCTGGGTTGACTCCCTAACCTGGCGACTTCGGATCCTGCTGCAGGAAACAAGGAATGCAAACAGGGGTCTCCTTGATGTGCTGCCCAGAAAAGCAGGAGTTGGGTCTCCTTTTCTGTTCCCAGACAACCTCCACATGGATACCCCAATTTGCACCCCCACTAATAATAAAGGGGTTTCTACTTTTGTTTATAATAGCCATTCTAACTATAGTGAGGCAATATTTCCTAGTGGTGTGGATTAATGTGTTTCCCTGAAGGCTGATGATATTAAGCAGTATTTTTATATTAAAAAAAAATTTTTTTGGCAACAACCTTACACCTTCTCAGTGATGGAGTGAGGGGACCTTACCTCATGCCTTAGGGTTTCTTTTGGCAAAACATCTACTACAGACAGGAGAGTTTCCAGCCATGCATTGCTGACACCTGATTGACCAAATGAGAACATGCCGGATTAAATCTCACAAATCTCACCAATTCAGTCATTAATAGTTACGACAGCATTTAATTATAAAATAAGAACAATTATTTTATTACCACTCTAAGAAGACTTTATTTTTTTGTCTTAGCTAACATCTAGGAAGTTTTTATATTTTTAAAAGTAATATTAGAAACATCATTAAGTGATGCTTTCTTACTAATAATAGAATCACAAAAATTGTTTCAGAAAAAAGGATCTAAAGGTATAATCATAAGATGAATGAGTGGGTCTTCAACTCTGATGGACTCTGACTTCACGTTTTCACACTTTTTTTTAAGCAGATAGAGTGACCCCCTGGGAATTCTCTCACTGCCACTGAACTGCTTGCAGCAAAGCTCCACTTGGACAGTCACCCAACCAACGACCAACGGGACGAGGCGGCCCCCCAGCCCGCCACCCAGTCTCGTGACCAATGACCAACGGGGTGGGGCAGCCTCCCAGCCTGCCACCCTGACCTGCATCCCTGTGCTCCAGATGCAGCAGAATGATCTGCAGGAAGGAGTGGGCGTAGGTATGAGCCGACACTGATTCTTCCTGCAGGATGGTCAGGAACGACACGGCAGCCGTCAGCTGCATGTCCACTCCTGCGACGTGGAGCACTTCCTGTGCAATCAGAAAGAGTTTGCTGTTCACTCAGAGGAGGGTCAGAAACTGCAATTTTTAAATCCACGGCTATTGAAATAGTCCATAAAATTACTATACGTGAACTTTTAAAATATGTACTTCTTCTCAAGAGAACTGTATTGTAATAATCTGTTCCTGGTCATTTAACTCATTTGATCACATAAAATTTAAATGTTTTGAAATTCATAAACTAAGTAACATTCCATTGCTTTACTGAATACAAACCATAAATAGCACACAAACCTTTCAACACAGCAGTTTTGACAGTTCTCAATTTGTACTTTGCTATCGGCATTGTATAATTTGCTATCCCACCTAGAGTATGGATGTCAACTCAGACGATCATGTGTTTTCCAACACTTGTATATCTACTTCAAAAACAAACATTGTGTATTCTACTGTAAAAATAAACACGCTTAGCAGTGTGTGGACAAATTTTCCCTTAAACAACTGCTAAGAGCATAAATTACTTTATGAAGTGTTTCTACAAGAATTTCTTAAATATATAAGAATTTCATGTAAAACTAATGATGTGGATACCATCTTCATTCACCATTTAAAGAATTCAAACTATATTTTCAAAAATAGTACCTGCATTAGAATATTTCCAGTACACTGAGGCAAAGCTGTATAAAGGTATTACTGCACCTTTCATGAAGAGTGCACGTGAGTGTGCATGCGCACGTCTGTGTGTATGCATAATAAAAAGGGAGTAAAACACTTCTGTGCAATTACGGAAATTACTGCAATTCTCCCTGCATGACTACTGTATAAACAACACAGCAAGATTAATTGAAAGACATCCATAGTCAGAAAACTTTCATATATGTGATCTTAGAAACCTAATCCCTTTATATTATTTCCTGATGCACAAAATGTGTTTGTAGTGTCTTCAAAGAGATTTAAATGATTTAAACAGAACTTCTATGACTTAACCAACTTAGTGTGCAAAATGAACATTTAAAAGTGACCACTATACATCCAATTGTCTCCCCTCTATCTAACCATTGAATTATCCAGTAGGAATGTCATCTGACTCAGCCCTAACTCAGTGTTCCCCAAACCCCTGACGCTTAATGGTCCTCCTTACTTCCAAAAACAGATCCTGAGTCTTGGACTCCTTCCATTGCTCAGCCTAGACCCCTGGGGTCATCCTGCCTCCTCTCACTGCTCAGCCTAGTCCCCTGGCTGAGGTCATCCTGACTCCTCCACTGCTTAGTCTCGATCACTGGGGTCATCCCAGAAGCCTCTCATTGCCATACTCACCTCAGCATATCTGAAGGAGCTTCCTCCAAGGCAGATACAGAATCTGGCCACTTATTATCTCAGCTGCTACCACTTTGCTACAACTCACCATTATCTCTAGCCCATCTTATTAGAATTAAGTGGTTGGTTCCACTATTGCCTCAACTATATTTTTGTGATAGAGCCCTCAAAGGGATTCTTTCAGTAAATCGGATCATACTACTTATCAGCTCGAAAACTCCAGATCTCCAAGGAAATGTCTTAAGTCCTAATGACTTCAGGGACCATTCTGCCCATCCCCATACTCCAGGTTTCCTTATGCCTGGATCCCTGATCCCTTTTCAAGAAGCCTTTCCTTGGTGGCTCTTTTTTAAACTGACACTCACCCCATTCTCACCACTCCTTTTTAGATGTATTCACCACCCTCACCAACGTTCATTCTATTCACCCATTGATGGTGTGTCTCACACATCTGGTCCATCAACTTTAGGACAACAAGGCTTCCCAACCGCTGGCAGGCAAACAGGAAGGAACAGCCCAATACCTTCCTCTTACCTGCCATCCAATGTTTCTACTCCCCCCACTCCGCCCCCCTGCAACTTCTCACATGTTTTCACACACTCCAAACGCTCCTGATTTCCTTCTAGCCCAGCACATGTGTGACCATAATCTGCAGCAGTTTCCAGGCACTTTGACACAGCACAGTGAGGCCACTGCCACTCATCGGGCTGGGAAATGATGTGTTTCTACAGCACAAGAAATAGGCTCAGAGCAATGACACAGTTCCCTGAAGGCCAGTGAGCTCATAATCAGCAACTGAAAAACTTAGTCCTTGTCTGTCCTTGTCCAAGCCCTCCCAGGCACTGAACACTCCCTCAAGGATCTCACCCACTCGCTCCTCCTTCACCTGCCATTGTGCACCTGCTGTGCCAAATGCTTTTGTGCTGTGCTTAATTCTTTGAAAAACCCATCACCTCTTAGGATGGAGTTTTTGCTCTGGTTAGTCCTAATCTTTTGTAACACAGGCACATTTTACAAGGTTTTCCAGCCCACAGTTGAGCCATGAAGCAGAAGCAGCAACTGGCCTCTTGAATCAACCTCTCCCACACACCCTCTTTCTGCCCACTTCTGGAGGCAGACATTTGTTCCACACTAACACTGGGGGATCTGGAAAATGCTTTTGAAAGATTGGATGTGTCCAATATACATCACTTAAAAGTTTCAAGAAATACAGCTTTTATTTAGAAACTGAAAGTACTTTGCAAAGAAATAGGAAATTGCCAGGGCCACAGTGCACATTGCCATTCATATGGGTCTGCTGCTTTGTGGTCCAAGAGATGTGACCAGGTCCTGACTGAATGGCATTAAGGTCCTGGGTTTTGAACCATAATGCAAACATTATGCGTAAGAACATTAGAAGCTCCCCAACTCCAGATTCTCCTCCTGTATTGGTCTTAATTCTTACAGCAAAATTTGCCCCAACTAGTTTGCATTTAATTTTTGAAAACTCCTCAAGTCCAATCAGGATTTGAGTTTTTCTCTTGGGCTGACTTCAACATCTGGGACTGGCCATTGTTAAGAAACCAGCATGGACTAAGAGATTTTATCACTACTTGAAAAAAAGATCAACTGATTTCTAAATCTGTATTTCTGAAACATAATACAGTAAGAGTTTGATACTTACCAGCAAGTGTTCTCCACAGAGTCACACCCTCTGGACAAACCACAGTGAGATCCATAGTCTCTGGATCATTAAGTGTGTGTCCTCAAGGGCTTTGGAAGACACTGAAAAGTCACTTCCTCCATGGCTGAAGTGCATGCCTCAGTGCTGGGTACCACTCCTCTGACTACACTGCTAAAGCTGGCATCCCAACTTGAATTCCTCAAACATGAAATGAGACATCTGAGAAACGAGTTAATGGTACGCTTCCAGAATTTGAAAAAAAAAAAACTATTCCCATTCAAGGCAGTCAAGTGTGCAGCACACTTGTACCTTTAAATTCATTCTTTAGTTAACATGAATGGTATCCCCCACCCCAAAAATGACTTAGTAAAATAATGCAATACATTCCTTGCAGATTGCAGAGAGGGAAACAGTTTTGTCTCCAGCAACTCTGCACTGCATCCATGATTTAACACAGCAGAGAGGAGCATTCAGGAGATCACGGGCTTATCCCAACAGATATTTTGAATTGACACATTTGAAAACTAATCTTACTGGAGAAAACTGGAAAATACATTTACCAAAGGGTGCTGATGGAAGATACAGAACTCTAAAATGAGAAGGCATCACTGCACAGTTTTAGAGTCAATATTTCATATTACTTTGAATAGAATAATAAGAATTTAAATATTAAAACTGTAGGATATATTAAGTTTCTGAGGGATCAGGGGTAAAAAATTAGAAATTTTCAAGAATTAACAGTGACAGTGAACAATTTTTTTCACTTTACAACACTTCTAAAAGACCTTAACATGAATAACTGGAACTCTAAGATTCCTTTAACAATTCACTGCAATACTACACTCCTTCTCCTTCTCCTGACTGCCAGATTCCACACCAAAATAAAAGGTTAAGGGACTAGCTGGGGCGGGGAAGGGGAATAAAGTGGAAAACAGCAAGTAGCAATAAAATAGGGGTATGCTTTCCCCTGTTTGACATCTGTATCTCAGTGATTCAACACAAGGCTCCTGAGGAGGCACATTTGCTTTGCTTTCAGTCCTTTTAATAGGACATTCTCTAACCCTCTAGACTACAGTTTCTGACACGATTGCCTTAATTTTCCCCTTTGTTTTTCCATACGCAATGCTTCTTCCTTCACCAGCTGTACCCAAGACTGCCTCTTTCTAAGCAGGGTGAGCATGCTGTACTGGGCAGACAGAGAATGTGTGAGTGTCTATGCATATTTACCCTCCTGCAGTCCTCCAAGCTTATTGTATTTCCAAACTGTTCTTTCATTCATTTCAGAAAACTCCTACTCTTCAAGCAGTTTTTCCCTATCCTCACTTTTCTGAGAGTCCAATTTACATGTATATCACTTCGCACAGTTTGAAAGCACTAAATGCTCTCTTTTGGGGTTTTTTTTTCCCCTCATTTTTATCTTTGCTTCAATTTGAATAATTTCAGTCTTCTAGTTCACTGATTCTTCCCCAGCTGTGTCTAAACTGATATGCTTCATCTCACCATTATCATCCTTTTTCTTTCTAGCCATTTTATTTAATTGCCTTACAGAACTCTTTTTCTTGGAATAGAAGTGAGTATATACCCATGTATGTTGCTTTTTAACTTATTAATCATAGTTATTTTAAATCCCTTAATACTTACAACATCTGAGTCATCTCTGATACTACAGCAAATGTGTGCTGTAAGTCTTTGTATATCTGTCCTTATTTTGGGTGCCTGGGAATCTGAGTGCTGGATCTTCCGTGAAGACGGCAGCAACAGTATGCTCAGCTGTTAGTGTGTGGGAGGCTGAATCAGCCTACTCAGTAATCAAGCTGGGCTGAAGTTTTGCTGTTGCTATGGTAACTTCCAAAGCACCCCATTTGCAAACTTCTCAGCAGCGGGCCACTCTATCTTGTGCTCCACCTGCAGCCAGAGGAGATGCCACAGGGTTTTCTCCGGATTAGGCTCGATCCTCGGTTGTCAGCAGGGGGCTCCCTCCACACTCTGGTTGATTCCTATCAGCAGACTTCTGTCCCTCGTTACTATGTGATGGGCTGGTGAAGAAGGT